AAGGAATATGAATTTTGTATTGCAGATGCGTTCAAAAAACGCAACGCATACTCGTCAGCAGCTGAGCTCAGCAGCTGACGTTAGTTAGTGCTGCTGACGTCAGCTCAAAACACGCTCTGAATTAAGGTTACAGCATGTACTGATTTTTTCAGTATCTTGCTAAATTTTCGATCATTTTTCAAGAGAATACTGATCGATACTGAATACTGAAAAACTACTGAATTTTTGACTTGCATATTGAACATACTGTGCCGGTATTCTAAGTCATTCCACCAAAATCGTTCGGAATTATTTTTCTCGTACATAAGACCATATTGGAGTGAAAGAGAGAGATTCCACTATTTTTCAGCGTCCTACCGGAATTATTTCGATAACTCAAGGAAGAGTGGATTGTGTGAGAAATAATTCCGGTGGGACGCTGAAAAATAGTGGGATCTCTCTCTTTCACTCCAATATGGTCTTATGTACGAAAAAAATAATTCCGAACGCTTTTTGCGGATTGTGTTCCAGAATACCGGTACTGGATTCGCCCCCTAATTTTTTTTTTGCTAATCATGAATTGAATATTCTCTTAACTCTTTATCACATATCGGTTCCTAAAGTAACCAGATACGCCAGACGCTATAGCTATGAAACCACTGAATATTTTTGCATTCTTCTATGGAAACAAATGTAGGGAATTGAACTAGCTTTCATTTGATACTTTACAGGCCAGGGGTGAGACACCAATTCTATTAGAGTCTAGTTACACTCAATTTTATATATTTTTTGCTTTATGTCCTCTAATTTTTCTAGTTTTGGTGCAAAAGTGCTAATATTGTGCTATTATTTCTAGTAAAATCGCTTGCAGAGCGTATTACACTGTGAATACAACGCTTATGGAATACCTAACGGGATTATTTTGTAAACAATAAACAATACGTCCATAAGCGTTAACATTGGCAAACCAAACTCACTAATTTCTCCTATTTTTCCTATTAACATTAAATAATGTTCTAATTTTACTCATTTAAGTTTCGTGTCTCCCCCCAAGGGCTGAATGGAAAGTTTTTTCTGTTCATGTACTGCTGTAAAAAAACGCGAAATTATAGCAGAATTCCACATTTTTCCTCCTCTTATCTTGTGGGTTTTTACATTCTTTTCAATTGTCAAATTAGGACTCGTAGGACCACAACACATCAATTTAACTTTCTGCATCATTAGTTTTATGAAATTTAATTTTTTCAAGCTTTTATAGTGATTTGACACTTTTGACTCTTTTCCGATTTTCTCGACAAATACGCAATTTTTTCAAAAATCGAAGTATGAGGTCTTTCTCTATTTATCATGGCACAAAACATATATCAAAATGATTCAAAAACAAAAAATTGTGCATCAAAGGGTTAAAAAATGTTTTTAGTTACAAAACAACAAACTTTGTTTGCGAAAATAATCTTTCTTGAATATATTATTTATCATAAAATATGAATATGTTTTTCATTATGTAGACCTATTTTAATTGAGGATCATTCACTTCAAACATTATTCGTCTGAATGACTAATTCCTCTAAATATACGTGTTTTGTCTATCAATTTTCCTATTTTTTATCGTACTTCAGTTTCAATAAGACTAAGAATGATTTGAAAAATGCTTTAGCAATATTTGGTTGGTTGTAATTTACTTATTTTTCTGCATATATATTTTTTTAAATCTCCATATTTCCCATAGTTTGTTTTGTCAACTCATTGGATTTTGTTAGAACTGCTGTAAATAGTATTTTATTCGTTTAAAATCGATTTAGTCAATTTTTTTTATTTTTCACTATTGACAGATCTCGTAAAATCAATTATGTTTTTTGATTTATATTCTTCAGAAGTGAAGCATGTTTTCCCTCGATTCTATCGGGAATAAAAAATATATCAACGTCCCTTCAGTCGTCGAGATTTGGAATTGATAAGAGATAACGACTTATCTCTTTTATTTTATTTACACCGCCAAGTATTGGCTGAATATTTAGTTGTACTACTCGAGGTCTTCTATAACTTTGATACAGACAGTTATCTTTTATCTCTTATCAAATGTGGACAAAAGAAAGCAATTTTCCCGTAGGACATAGTTTTATTATCTTTTGCGCTTTTCTCAAAACTGACAAAAGATAATTGTCTGCTAGAGAGTTATAGATGACCTTGAGTACTACATGACGATGACCTGCGAAAAATTAACATTTGTGTTGCCATAATTAGTTGCAATGAAACGTATTTTTCTGTATTGTTACGAATACATTGTCTCACCAATAGACATTATGTGCCAATATTTAAATCGGCTGTAGGTATAATATCAGTGTGTGTCACACCAACTACAACTCGCTAGAATTGCAATAAATTATGTCGGTTGATTTATTACTCAAGGATCTACCGATACAGTATCACGAGTAACTATTTGAGTGTTGATTTTTGGATGCCATACGATTAATCATTGATATAGTCGAAATTAGTTTCTATTATCACAGGCTATAAATTTTTAAAATTCCGGTGGTCGTCTTTTCCCAAACAAAACGCACTTATTATAATGATTTTACCATAATTATGGGATAAATTCGTGTCATCGCTGTTATGCATCACCTATTTTTTTTCTTCCTCAAGATATCGTGAATGAAAATTCCTTCTTTTTTTCAATTTTTATGTTGAAGCTTTGCTCTCAGTCTTTAGAATTATTGCATAAAATGAATTTTTTTCGTAAGGTTCAATGATGATTTTTTTGTTGATTTATTTGTAATCGATTTTCTTACCGTTTTAATTGATCGTTTGTTATTTTTAGCATCTGTTTCCTTTATTCCTTATTATTTGGTTCTTTGAAAGCTCGTAGTTTTAATGAGTTTCAACATTTTTCAGAATACATAATATTTCTGTGCAGTAACCGTCTGTGTTCCACCGTATAACACTTTTTCGTAATTTATAAGACGTTTCAATGATTTTTTTTTAAATTGAAATTTTAAGATTATTCAATTAGAAAACTGGTCTGATTTTGTTTCAGAATTGTCAAAAAACATCTAATAACAAATTTCAAAATAATATATTAAATGTCACTGTATCTGTACTAATAACATTAGATGTGATCTGAAACTTTTGTTTGAAATACTTTGGTTTTAAATTTCTACGGTTTTACCCGTGAGTGTCGAATTCTGTAGTACTGTTTTGCTTCATGCATTATATTTTAAATCAAATAGAAACAAATTTTCAGCAGATATTTAACCACTTGTATTTGATATTGGGTAAAGAAAATTTCCATCATAAATCCATACACAGCTGAAAAATATCAAAAATGTTTTTTTTTTCTAAAGTCTTTTATATTCTTTTGTTCACATTATTTATTTAAATTATATATATAATTAGAAGTTGATACTTTTACTTATATACTAAGAATAGAATTGAGTTCAATTAATGAGCTTCCTCCTAAAATGTGTTTTTAATAATTAATATATCTTATTTTCCTAAAATGATTTCGGTCTTCATTAAATCTTTGAATTGTTTTTGAATCTATTGTTCTAAATTGGGTAAGTAAAACAACAGTTTTGTGTATTCACTTTTTTCTCATAAAGATCGAATCGTAATGTAAGCTCACGGGCACTAATAACTCAAACAGATTAATTGAAATTGTTAGATTACAAAAAAGATGAATACAAATATAAAGGAAAATAAATAGAAACAGGAGAGACAAATAGTAGTGGGCCTTGCATGCAAACGTTCTTTCAAGCTTCAAATAAAATGTAAATAAAAATTCGATCAAATCGATTTTTCTTATTCAAAAGATTCCATTTCAAAAGTTGCATGGGATTTTTTTAGAATAGAAATTCATTTCAATTGTATTATATTTAGAAAAGATAAAATAAAATGATATTTTTATGCGTCTATATTGAACAATTTAAATTTGAAAGAATCATTTCTTATTTCGTCAAATAGGTTCCATAAACAGACCTACATATTTTCTATTTTCTATTGTTTATTGTTTATAAGTAAGACTTATTTAAATATTAAGTATTAAATGAAACGTATGTCAAACCAAATTTATTTGCCATGCCTATCATCGCGTGATTTAATTTTGTTCCAACTGGAACAGATTTCAAGATATTTGTTTATTTTATTTTAGCAGAGCTTATTGCAATATTGTAAGCTAATTTGAAAGGGTTTTACATTAAAAGTGTGAAATAACATTTCCTCTTGGGTAAATGGTTTTAGTTCAATGATAGCGGAGATGAAAGCCTTATACAATTTTTCTTTCACTTTCTTGGGTTTTATGTGTTGTTACACTTCATATTCCAAAATCCTAATAATAACCCGCATGACTTTGGTATGCATCAGATTTCGCATAGCCTTGTGTATAGTTTGAATCTGTAATATGGTTAAATAAAAAATTGAATTGATGTTAAATTATTCACTAAAATATCCACGAATTTTCATAATCAAACAAAACGTTTAAAGTAAACATGTCCAAAGCCATAGACTTCAGATAAGTTATTTCCACTACTTCATTCTTTATTGATGTCGCAAAAACACTAAAAACGTTAGAGAGTAACAAAACTCATTTTAATATTTTCCACTCATAGAATTTATAAATGCATCAGAATTCCGCATAGAATCGAACCCGTATCGTTCCCGAATTTTATGTGGATGTTCTTCTACATTTTGTGCGGTTGTTCTTTGATTCTATTTTGTAATACAAACGGTACTACAATGCACTAATTTGAGTAATAAACGATTTACGCTTGTCTGCCTGATAAGTCTCCATATTGTGTAAACATCTACGTTATACACGACAGAAATACTTAAGTAGGTTCACTGTTCGCATAATATATAACGTTTTCTATGATCCTTATGAATGTTTTATATCACACGATTCCATGTTTAACGCCTTGTATCATGAGTGCATTTCTGGAGCGAGTAGCGAGTTTGATTTTTTCAGAAGTCTTTTGCATTTTTCCGATTTGGGAAAAATTCTTTACGTTACTGTAGCGGCTCAGTGAATGGAAACTTGATTTCCTTGATTTATTACACTAGTGACTAAAACACTTGAAAAAATAGTTATCTGTCTGTTCGATGACACATGAATTATCCAAGCATAGGTAAACAGCATCGACTAGCACTATGTGAATCTAATATGATGAGAGTTTCGGAAAAACAATTAGTTTTAGGGATTGAACTGATTTTCACCTTGTTTTTGAAAGGTGTTGATGTTTTATTTTAATTTTTTCTTGATTTTCCGTCAATATTTCGATTCTTTTTAGGGCCAAATTTAAGCAATCAAGTGATTATATTATAGCCATAATTAACTTGAAAGCAGAGGCTACGGGAGGGAAATGTGTTTTAAGGTCTGGTTTGGCATTTTAGGAGTCAATGATTTGAAATTTGATTAAATTCCCAACAAGTTCTTTGATCTAGACGATCTTTAAGCCAAAAATAAACGATAACTTAGTGAACGACGGCTAGTCGTCAATCGATTTTTCTTCACATTTTTTGTTTCGGTTTCGATTTTCAGTGTGGTAGTATTTCCTATCGTGTACTTTTCGAAATGCATCCGCTCCAACAAGTTGTTTTACCTCGTATCGGGTTTTGTTATTAAAAAAGCATCTCTACAGTTATTTCGGACATGGAAATTCATTTTTTTCGATGAATGTAGATTTTCAAATCAGAACCTAATACTAGTTAAGGATATAATATGTGATTTCCATTGGTAGGATGTTTGATTTGTTGGCTCTTACGGCAATCCCGATTTATTCATAAAAGCACCATATTTGATTTCATTGAGTATATTACTGTCTTTATCATTGTTTATTTCCGAATTCGGTAGTTTTTCGTGTGGTCAAGCTCGTGATTGTATTTATAAAAATATGTTGAGTATCTCAAAATACACTATGAAGAGATTTTTACCAGCATTTATTATTATTTTTAGTTGAGTATATTTTTTCATAGAAAATTTGCTTCGATAGAGCATTTTAGATTGTGAAGAACTGTTTTTGCTTGGTGGAACGTAACTACAATCTTTTTCAGTCAAGTATCTTGAATTATTCGTAAGAAAATGAATATATCTTTTTGGAATACATAGTACATATTCTGGAAATCTATGAGTTTTTAACCTATGTTTTTTTAACGTGAATGAACCGGGTTTCTTTTTTCAGGATTTGTTCAATTGATTTAGGACAAGCAATAAGCAATTAACCCCGGAAGTTTTCCCTCATTGTAGGCACTATTTTGATTTTTGATTTAGCTGAGTTTTTTTCTTTCAGAATGTAGTCCTTCATCATTTTCGTTGCCCCGTATATAAAATGTTTTTTTTTTCATTTGTTCATAGTATTGATTCGAAAAGAAAAGAAAATTTGACTATCCAGTTTAATTTAACGTAACATGTATGTCAATTTAATAACATATTATCACCACCAAGAGCTGACTGAATCAAGTTTTTTGAAATTTGTTTGGAGAAAATCTCTTGAATCTATATTTTGTGTATTATATCTTTTATATTGTGTGTTTTGCATGTTTTTTTTACATTTTTATCATGGGAAAAAGGCGAAATCAGCCAAAAAAACGTAGGAATTATTTAACTTTCTTCGTTTTCTTCGTTTTTTCAAAAGATATTCTTCTTTTTTTCAAATATTGTTCTATTTTTTTCACTTTTAGTCAATATTGTTCTATTTCAATCACTAGCTCCAATATTGAATGTTCTGATCTATGGACCGCTTCCGTACGATATTATTCATTTAGTTGGTTGTTCTAGTTTTTTTCTTCTAAACTTGCAAGGAGGTAACTTACTGTACGCAAGTGGTTTATGTGCTTTTTATTTTCAATGTATTTTCAATGGATTGTATTATTTTGAGAAATGAAGAAAATTTGAAGATAGATATATAACTTCCATTTTACTTTTTATGTGTTCAATGAAGAGAATAACTGGCTTCGAAAAAACATAGTTAAACCCATGTATGTCATGTTATTGCTTTCTTAACGTGCTCTATTTTTTAGAGACTCTCGACGAAATTCCCTCGTCATTAGAGTTCCCGTATATTCATTTCGATTTTTAGATGTCATAGAGTTACTACTAAAGCATTTATTGCCCTCTCAAACGCGAGCGCCAATTGGTCGGTGCAGAAATGTAAACAAACACGTTGACTCTTACACACCAGCCGTCAACCAATATACAGTCCTCTCTCTAATAAATCATAAGTACCAGAAATCTTAATCTTCCATAAAACTGAAGCAATTTTCGAAAAATCAAATCCCTAATTTCATCCAAACTTGCGTACATAAAATCCGAGTTGTCCAGAAAACTTTTTCTGCAAAAACAAACTACTTAAGATTTCTGAGAAAGCACTGTATATGGCTGTATACAGGTACGATGGTAAAAAAAACTGCCCGAGCAGATGGTGCTCGCGTTTGGAAGCAATAAATGCTTTAGTACTAACTGTATGGACGATGTTATAGTAATTTTCGAAAAGTTAATCTGTAATTCAACATTTAGTTATTAATTATTTTGCAATATAACTTTGATAAACTTACCATATCCACTATACGATCGGTTGTCGTATGTACCAGCCTGTGAGTAATCTGACGATGGAGTGTTATAGTCTGTAGATGCTCCATAGTTTGATGTGCTATAGTCTGACTGGCCGTAATTAGTTGGATATCGAGCATCTTGTTGATACGATGCTGTGCTGTTATTCAATCATAATTTTAAATGGTTAAAAATCCGTAATATTAATATTATTTTATTAGAACGCAAAACGAATTTTTTTTCGCAACTGATTCAAGTCATGAAATTTGTATTTCCAAAAATAAAATTGACATTGAAATTACACGCACAAAGCAAGAGTTGTACTTATGAGTTTTTTCTAAAACAAATACGAAAAAAAAACTTTGAGCAAAAACGAAACAAAGTTGCAGTGATGGTTTATCGTTAGCCAGCATTGTCTTAGCCTTGGCTTACACCAACAACTGGTGTAAGCCGATCGTTGGCCAGCTATCTGTGTGAAATGAGTACATTCAAAGTATAATAATTTTTGATTTGAGTATTTTGATATATGAGGCCAATTAGCCAGCTAATGTGTTCTTCACTGCAAAGTTGCTAGCAAAGTTGCTAGCAAAAGAGCAGAAATGTAAAAAAACGACTTTTCCGCTAAATGCTGAGTTGTGTCACTCTTACTTGCAACTTTAATATTTTCTTTTTTGCTCAAATTTTTATCCATCTCATAAGACGTAACTATAGTTGATGAATCAGTTTCTTTAAGTCTATCTTGATTTCACCGCGTTAAGTGAATATACACTTTTGTATGAAGACTTCGAAAAAATTAAAAATCTATATCTCGTTTTTTTTTCTGCAAAAATTTTCCAAGAAAAATTATATTCTCTTCACAGCAGCAAGTTCTATGTAAGCCAAAAACTGACAAAGGTGGTTCAATATCTTTTAGAAGATTGTAGGAGCCGTAAAAGTAACCACTCTGGTCAGTTTTGTAAAGAAGATTTAAACTGAGTGTTCTGTCAAATTTGCGCACCAATACATCCAATTTCAAGTCCATCCATGCTATTCTTCGTTTATATGTATAGAAACTTCTATTAAACGTTCAACATCAATGCTGACTGACATTTGTGTACGCTAATCAAGCGACAAACAAACACGCACAAACACACACCAACAAGCGCATGACGATTGAACATTTTTTCTGTTCTTACTCGTTTGCAGGCGATTGCTACATTCATATTGCAGCGTGTGAATGAAATGCAAACAGTCAACGTGCCGTTCTCTCCACTTATCGTAGCGGCACAAACATCTACTGTATTAACACTCATAATGAAGCAAGCGTTTGTCTGTATGCGAGAACAAAGCTGAAGGGGCGATGAAGGCTCTAACGCACGACAAAGTAACTTTGACAAATGATTTATATATGTAATGGTGCGTTAAAAGTGACAGAACACAAATTAGAAGTCTCAGTTTAAATCTTGTTTGGCAAGTAAGTCGCTTTTGAAATTAAATTGTAAAACCAATATATCAAAATAGAGATAGATGCATAACTTGGAATTGTCGGTTTTTATAAGGAGTGTACTATTCATTTCAACATAAAATTGAAATACTTTTTAAAAAACTTTCAATACAGCAGACAAATTGTAACGAGAGAAGTGTCAAATGGAAGGTGGTTCGATTCCTTACATTTGTTTCCAAAGAAGCAAAGAAAAATATTCAGTGGTTTCGTAGCTATAGCATTTGTCCCATCAGGTTACTTTAAAAACCAGCACGTAGTAAAGAATTAAAGGCTTAATAGAGTCGTATCATGTATACACCTTTTTAATGTCGTTTCTGTAATCCAGACTAATGAATATATCTTTTTTACTTTTGCAAATCTCATTGATCAAACTATGTACCACCAGAAGTACATAAGAAATTTGCGGAACAGCCTTCCCAATATAGGGAACATCAACTGCGCCCATAAATAATTATGACATTTAAGAAACATAGAAATATATCTACTCAAACAAAGCCCAAATTTCTTATTTTCGCCATATGAAATTTTCAAATTATGACAAAATGTGTAGGTAGCTTTTAGGAAGTTTCGGGTGCTATATTCCGAAAAAATGATATTTATCTGTGATTTTTACTCAACTTTAAAATAAGTAGCAACATTGACTGTGATATAGCCATCCTCTGAGTTGATGATTAACTTTGACCTGTTATTACTTTATAATGGAAACGACCTTTTGTATCAATGTAATTGCGAAAATCAGAACACTCTTTTATGTCTTTCTGTCTCTACTAAATTTCAAATTCATATCTATCAACAGGGACTTGTTAGACTAGACGTAAAACTTTTCTTCAATATATCACTTCTCTAATAGATTAAACGCTCCAGTTAGTCTATCTTTTCTCAAACGCGTTGTTAGATTATCTTGAACCGTTGAAAATTCGGCTTCTTACTCAATTCCTTGTATTGGTTAGGTTTTTTGTGTTAAATTTTATAGACCAAACCCTAATTCAAATCAAGAAAGACTACTATAACTAACTAACTATCTATTGTACGAAAATACCCTATATTATACAAACTCGAAAAGATCAGGTTTTTCACGACTATTGGAGTCGTTTTCCTGCAAATCAAAATATTCAGCCAGTTTTTGGCGGTGTGAATAAAAAAATGTCTTACTTGTAATCTTGGGAATATCCTTGGCCTTGATCATATTCAGATGTTTGTGGGTAGCTTTGTTGAGGATATTGTGAATACCCATTTGTGTTGTATCCAGATTGAGATGGAGGCGGTGCATAGTTCTGAGAATAGTCATGGATCTGATTCATTTGATCATATCCGCCATTGCCTAAAGGTGAGAATAAGCACACATAAATAAATATATATACATGAACATGACACTGCTTCAACTCACCTTGTGGTCCATAGTAGTTATTTGGTTGATGTTGCATTGGGGGTACAGAATTTGGGTAATTATTACTGTAATTAGGTTGAGATTGTGGCTGTTGGTTCGGGGGACCTTGTAATTGCGGTGGTGGACCCTGTGGACCTTGTAGGGGATACTTTTGTAAACGGTGAGATGGTGCTTGCTCATAACGGCCTGTCAATATTCAATTCATTAAATGCAAGATTATTTGTGAAGAGTTTGAATTCTGGAACATAAATATGAATTATATTCATCCTCATAAATATGAATTATTTCAGGGATGTTTGTGGGTTAATGCATAGAAAGTTTTATGCATTTACACACAGACAATTAATCCAAAAAGTAATAGACCAAGAGCTGTTGAACAAAGTACTATAAATACAAGCTTCATGTCAGATAATGGAATTGTAGGTGCACATTTAGGCCAATATTCAAAATATCAATTTGTTTTATCTTCATTTGATACACATCACAATATCTGCTCGCCGATAACAAGAAAATCTCACTTCTTTGAATTGAATGAGACTTTGATGTGAAATAAAAAATGTTGTGTACAATGTTTGGAGCAGATTTTTTGTGTTCGAATTAATTTTAGCAGTAAACAAAAAATCTGACATGAAACTTGAGCGAAAAGTGAAGTAATTTTTTTTCTTGTTATCGGCGAGCAGATATTTTGATATGTATCACGATGTATCAAATGAAGATAAAACAACTTGATATTTTGAATATTGGCCTCAATTTATCATCATTTATTTATCATTAAATTCATTTCATCCTTCATTTAAAAAAAAATGTTAAAAAAGTCCTCTTTTTTAGTTTCGAAAAAAATGTCCTCGTTTTCCTCGAGGAAAATTTGTGCACATTACCTATCAATCAAACGTGTTTATACTCAAACATGATTAAACCACTGTTTCTAGAATCGTCTTCACGAAATAACTTCAAATCATCACTCAAAAAACTGCCTTCAGGCTAAAGTCACTAGCTAATACTTTCAACGCGCATTTCTTTCCTAACTAAATGTGATCTACGCTATAAGCATAAAAATGTATATTTATAATTCACACTCACTGAATTTACTTATTTAAGTTTCTAATTCGAAATTAATTAACTTAGCAGAATCAATCAGAATTTACAGTATTTATTACCAATTATGAAAAATTGAATAAAAACAGGCAGTCTTCGGCGGTGTTTTATTATTATTAAATTATAAATTATTTTATATTACAAAATCAGATGAAAAACCTCGGGACGAGGTTAAAATGGAGTGACGCTCCTGTCCGTGGATTTACCACTCAAAAAGACTGATATCATTTTGAGTGACGTTAGCACGCTGTATTATCTCTGGAAACGAAGTTCCAAAGTGTTTTTCGCATTCACTATTGTCAAAATTTATTCACAATAAGTAAAATATCGCGTCACGACTTTTGAATTTTGTTCCAAAGCTTTTAAGCATTTTGCCATGCAAAAGTCGTCACGCGATATTTTTCCTTATTGTGAATAAATTTTTACCGGGATCATAATTCTAAATTTATGGTTACAGGGATCTGTGGGGGGTCGAAAAAACTACGGACAGACGAACAAAGACACATCTGAATCGATAATTTCATAGAAAACAATGGTCAAACTGCCAATGCTCATAATTTTTTTTGAACCAATCGGGGCGCTTAGACGGGCGTTGGAAAGGTAGCGAGGAGGAGATTCACTTTTGCTCATTTTGGTCTGAAATTGGTCTTTTATGTCTGAATCAATTGTCGCCAAATTCTATCCAAATTGCAATCTGAGAAGTACCAAAAATTTTGTGCGGGTTCTAGCTACACGACACAAGTCGAAAATCGAACAAAATTCGACCACCTGGGTGACTCGTAGAGCAAAATATGTCAAAAATGCCGAAAAATTGCCATTTTTTCGGTCATTTTACACTTTAACTGGCCCAGAATGCCTTTTCATTTAAAAAAGTTATAGATATTGACGGCTCAACCAAAACCCTATCATTCGTTATTGCCAAAACTCGATTGGAAAAATTATTTTGGTCGAAATGTTGCGATCTAAAATGGCTTCCGAAACGAATAAAGTGAAAAAATGGATACGTCTTGAGAAAGTGGTTTCATTTCTACGTTTTTCGAGTTTTTGATGCCAAACTTTTTTTTTTTGAGGCCAATTTTCGAAAACCGATCGGCGACTATGAATATCTCAATTTTTTTTGAACAGTCTAATCTATATATATAAAACTGAATGTTCGTCTCTGTGTGTGTATGTCGCGAGTGTTTACCCCTTTTTTCAATTCATGGCTTTATTGTTATGCGCTGTTTGATTTCTCGCGGCCTCAGGAAGGATCTTATAAATGCAGTTTTGATTTTCGAATTAAATTTTTTGAAGCTTAACGAAAATCTTTTTTTCATTGATTTTAATTCTAACTACATTAATGTACAGTGATGAATGTATGAAAGACTTCAATAAGAGACAGTACAATAAGATAATTGAATAAAAGAGTTTCTAAAACGATAGATGGATATTTGTCTGAGAGATGTTAAGTTGTGTTGTGTTCCCAGGCACACTTTTGTTCATTAAAGATAGACGTTATTCAGATTTTTTTATCTGTTCATTTGATACGAATTGTATGCAATGAAATTCATTAAAGCTCCGAATGGCATGGGATTTGAGGCAAATTGAATCACTTGAAACTTATCGTTTTAAAATACAAACTGGATACCCAGAGTGACAGAAACACATAAAGTTAAATTCGCCAAAATCATTTTAAATCAACCGATGAATAGAGAAAAAGACAAAATAAACGTGATTGCCTACGAATTACTTATCCAAGAGATATCAGATTCAAAATTGGAAATTGAATTTTCTAAAAAATATAATCAATATGAGTATAAAATCGATAGTCTTAAAAACCCTGAGAAAAAAACCAGTGCCAGTATTCTACGACACAATTCCGCAAAAATTATTCGGAATGATTCCAAATGATCAATTGAATTTTGAAAAAAGAGGGCACAAAGTTCAATAAAAATGCAAAACTTTAAATAATTTTCCCACAAAATTCTGATCGACTTTTTAATTGACGTTGTACCCGCTGTTTGCAAAATGCGATTGAACGCTTGAAATAATTCCGCACGGTCTTTGTGGAATTTCGTAGAATACGGACACAAAACACTACTGGTGAAAATAATTAAAAGATTGTGTTGCAACTAAATTGAATCTCACAGTCATTAACTTAGTACTTTTCGACATAAGATCTAAAAAGATTTTATTGCATTTATTGATTGATACTGATAAAGCCAACAGATTTTTATTAGTTATTTTAAGAATATAGAAGTTTAATTTTGTTTCTACATACCTCGCTTCGGTCCAGGAGGTCCAATTGGAGGTCCTCTTTTAAGTGGAACTAAAAGTATTGTTAACATTTAGGTAAGTTCAATTGCCTTCCATATTAGTCTAAAAAATTCTATAATGTACGAATAGGTCTTACTTCCAGGTTGCATCATTCCTGATTGATGATTAGTTGACACATGCATTGGACCGTTAGGTCTAGCTAGACCTTGTTGGAATCCTCCACGACCTCGAGACAAACCCCCACGGTAGAACGGTTTGGAGGATGGATTAGAACCTTAAAATAACATTGTACAAGTTATATATATCTTTACTCTTTCCAAAATATATCTATTTCCGAAATTAATAAAGTACTATCGATATTGAAGCAAAATGGAAAAGAAAGTATGTTTCACTGTTAATTTAGAAAAAAAAATATTGAATTTCCATTCATTCAACGTATACGATATAGATTGTTTGAGTTTTTTCCCACAGAGAACTGCTTATATACAAGGTGTGTTTCAAAAGTTCCCGGACTTTTGGTCCAGGGCATTTTCTGGTGGCGCCACCTACATATAATTACCGGCGTTGGAAAGGTACATCCTTACTGACATCCCATCCAAATTTCATGACATTTGGACCAGGGGGAGCGTAGTTATGGCCCCCAAAGTGACCCTATGTTTGTGCCATCGGTCGACACAAGAATTTTGAATAAAACAATGTGATACCGACGCAGTTTTACTGGTTAATGCACTTGGGAGGACAGATTACAGTCACAAGGTTCCAGAACAAAAGAAAAACGCAAAGGAACAATTGAATTTTCACTCAAATTTGGTCAAAATTGCCAATTGATGAGGTGTCCAAGATCATGAAATTGAATCAGCTCTCGAAAATCTGGGAAAAACGTGGAAATTATCGCAAATATTCTTCTGATTTGCTATTACCAGTACTTGTGGATACATTTCCAAGACTTAAGGAAAAAATGTTGACAACATTCTGTTGACAGTATGGTTTGTTTCTTTGATTTTTTTGTAAAACCCGTGATTTTCGGACTTTCTCTCTTGCTGTCAATATTGACAGTTATTTATTAACGCTGAAAAGAATTTGCATACTTTAGAGTACGTCTGTTCATGTTCTGTAACTGTTAAAACACAACTTTTTATCAACACATTCAATTTTTCGACCGATGGCACAAACATAGGGTCACTTCAGGGGTCATAACTCCGCTCCCCCTGGTCCAAATGTCATGAAATTTGGATGGGATGTCAGTAAGGATGTACCTTTCCAACGCCGGTAATTATATGTAGGTGGCGCCACCAGAAAATGCCCTGGACCAAAAGTCCGGGAACTTTTGAAACACACCTTGTATATTTTGTTGAGAATGTGAATGAAATAATTCAGGACTGTATGGCTGAATGAAAATGTGAATAGAAAATACTTAAATGCAAGGAAATATGGGAACTTTTTCTTTGCGTGATATTTTTTTCTGTACAGTTTACATTATTACTCTGTACAACAGAGTATTTCATAATGGAATTTTCGATTTTGTAACTACACCACACAACGGGCACAAAAAGTATGGTTTCTTTCATCAATATGAGGATTTACCTTGTTGTATATCATTTCCGGTGACATTTATATTCGGATTGTAATTGCCAGCATTGCTATTTCCACGACGCTGTGTCATTCCACCACCTCTTCCACCACGAATCGAACTTCCGATTCCTGTAAAAGATACCAGGTGTTTCATTAATATATGCATATTTCAAACTTTCTGTTTGTAATCACCTTTAGATGGTGGAGGTACACCCGATTGATTGATGGAAACTGAATTTCCTGGATCATTCGCGGGTGAATGCGAACTATTCTGAGCCGGTTTTGAGGATGGTTGCGTTCCAGACATAGTGTTGGAAGATGACTCTGACTTTTGCGATGCATCATTTGCGGCTGGCCCAATGTTTGTACTGAAATCATAATTCAATCAATTAAAATAGTATTATTGTCTCATTTGCATATATTTACCTCTGATTTTGATAGTTATTATAGTTCATTGGTCTTCCTCCTCGTCCTGGATTTCCTCTAGATGGTCCACCCCTACAATGAAAATGATAAAACAATTGATATGAACAATCCATTCATTGAATATGAAAAACGTAAATTTTTACCTAAAACCCATTCCTCGGTTCATGATACCCCGTAAGAGCCCACGCCTTAAAGCCGGAGGACCACTAAATCCTCTTGGCATTGAACCCATTGGTCCACCTCCTCTCCCTAGTCCACGACCTCTGAAATAGTTATAAAAACTTGAGATATTACGTTCCGAGTAAAATTAAATTATTCATTTCCACTCTTTTCACTCCATAACCAATTCTTTCATAACTAACCTGCCTCGTCCATCAAAACCACCACGCGGCATTCCTAAATAAATACAATTTGGTTAAAATTGATGCTTTTGCACTATTTTTTGTCTTTCTCATGGAACTTACCGCCCCGGCCGCGAAAACCACCACCTCTTATTGGCGGACCTGAGTTTGATGAACCATTTTCCATATTAGCGTTTATTTTTATTTTCACTGGGTATCAAAGGAAAATCACTGGAACTTTTTTTTTTCTTTCACAAAATAAACGGCACACAATTGATTAAAACTTATTTATTTATGAACAAATTAATTTCTTTAGATTTAACTTTGATTCCAATATGTCAAAACTGTAAAAACACACTTTTTAAAGCACAAAGAAGTACATAAGCGCGTTTTACTATTCTCACTGAAAAAGTCAATATAATGGCGGCGATATGAAGTCGTGCCAATTTCAACATAAAAAACTGTGTTTATGCATTGTATACACTCTGACACTCTGACTTTTCTCTCGTTCCAGTTTGTTTTCAAAATTCACATGCGTATAACATTTCAAATGGTTGTAATGCCGGCGATAGTAATGGCAGAACTGTCAAATATTTATACAAATGAAAAAAATATATCCGTGAGATTACACTATGTATGCCAGAAATTCTATGGGTCGTTATTTTGAATAAATATGATTAAAAATGAAAATTTAATTTATAAATGGATATAGTGCCAATTAATTGCTGATCAAAAATAATTGCGTCTTTGCGTCTGTCTGTTGGTAGAACGCTAACACACTCATGCATATACATACACATACACATACACATACGCATTGATATTGTGAATGGTTTGGTGTGTGGTGAATTTGGTGGATTTCTTTTGATAAATCCAATTCAAAATGAAAATTATATTCCAATTATAAAAAGATTGAAAGAGGTTTCGGTAAAATTCATGATAAATACTCGCATTTTGATATGGCATTATATTATCCATATATTCATTTTTTTGTTTAGTTTCCAAACAGCTTCATTTGTGTGGTTCTGCGTTTACCCTTCAAAAAGGACAATCGTGGTGAACAATTCGTCTCTACTGAAAAAGGCTGTGTTTAGTAACAAGCTTGCAGTTTTAGTCCCTTCACAAACAGTTTTGGGTGTGTGCGAAAAACTTGTTTCCATCGAATAATGTCAGCCCAATCCGAAGATGGTAATTTTTTTAAACATAATTTGATAAACATAAATTGTTCTTAATGATTGTTCATATACATTTCTTAGATATTTCGTCGGAGTCAGTAAAAGAGTTGCGTGAAAGATTATCAAAAATGAAGCGTTCCCTAGCTGAAAGACAAGCAGCGGCCGGAAGAAATCCATCTATTGATAATATTCTTTCTTCTAATCAAACAGCGAGACAGGCAGGAATAATTGATGCTAATTTTCTTAGTTTTGCACTTTGTGGTGCTCTTGGTGTCATAGTGGTAGTGGCCATATATGCATTTTATTCGCTTTATAACGCAGTGCTGAAGAAGTTTCCATCGCACCATACCGAATTGTAACTTTTATTTTTATTTTTATTTTTATTTATTTACACACCGCCAAAAAACTGGCTAAATATTCAGTTTTGCAGTAAAATGACTCCAACTTAATAAAATTAATATGAGCTACGTCATCCGGTTTCAATCACAAATTTCTCGATACATGTTAAGAAAATTGCATTCAGTACAGTAACTCACATTTATTTATTTATAAATAATAAACAACAATTCATCTCACCATTGAGTTTTCATTCAATTATAAGACACTTGAAAGCTATTTATTTAAAACTGAAAATGCTTGTTTCTGGATCTAATTTGTGGAAAAAAACTTTAATCAAACCTCAAGTTGCGATACGACTCAAAATGAGTCGTAAGAATGACAAACTTAAGCAAGTCCTTGGATCGCATATTGTTCAGAAGACTTTGACCCAGGTAATTTAAATCTTCATCTCTTTGATGCGAATCAGAATTAAAACGGGCATCAATTGCTATTTTTACGTAAAAGTACAAATCATCTTCGTACATTTGACAAAAGTTATCTGTTGCAGTTTGTCGAATCCGAACATCAAATATGAATTGATTCAAGAACTTTTGAACATCTCTTGAATCTTGGTGTTTAATCATTAGTTGAGCGGTATGTCTGTAGAAATATTGAAATGTCGATTTTGTAAGGCAAACATTCAAAACATGAATGTATTTGGTGTCAATTTTGTAATCATCGGGGGATTGATACATCTCAGCTATAGTTTGGTGCAGTTTCAAGTAGAAAAAATCTTGGTTCACTTCAAATATGATATCTCGATATTTGATAATGACAGATTCAGATCCAGAGTCGATTAATCGTACACATTCAACTAGCGTTTCCGTTGTTTCCTGATGAAATTTGAATTTCAGCAATTCCACAAAATTATCAAATGATGCCTTTTCCGGATTAACGGTACGACTGTTGTATTTGGATTCCAAAGCTGTAGCCACATCAACCTGATTGTGTATGATCGGCGATATCAATAAATAATGATTGTTTTTTTTACTTTTTACAAAACAAATGCTACTTGGGAAAATACTATATACGTACGACAAGATCTTTTGTCACATGTTCATTTACAGCACTGTCCATTAGGCCGAACAAAGAACAAACAATTTTTGTCTCCATTGTGTTGAATGAAACATTTTTTGATGTGTTGATTTGTAGAAGCGGCCCATTCTCTGAAAAAAATTGAATTCAAGTTTATATATGAGATAATAAATTATTGAAATCTGTTACACTGAATAAAGGTTTAGGGAAATAAAAACAATTGTTGTTCATATTCAATCCATAAATGTTTTTTATTCAGAAATTATTTGTCAATTTAAATGGAATTGAATTTGCATTGGAATTAATATTGTAAACTGCGTTTAGTTCCAATGTCATCGAGAATGGCGACCAATTCATCGTCTTCAAAACGACCCTCGAGGGATGGAATCAAAGCTTTAGCTTCTTCTGGGGCTTCAGGACAAAGATTACCAAGTGCAGCCAGTTCGAATTTATGTAGTTTCTTCTGATTCAGCAGACTGTAGTAGAAACATATACCAAATTACTACAGTAATATAATTTCATTTTTGGAGCTTTGTCATACTCCTGGAGTACCAGGTGGAGAACTGGATCAGAATCTAAAGTCTCAATGAAACAAAACTTGGGCTCTAAAGGGATTTCAACAATTTTCTCATATAAAGTACTATAGTAGAACAGTATTTTTGGGATTCGGAAACGTCTGGTCGATGGGTTCTGTGTCAATTATTATATTTCAGGAAAAGTATCTAATCCCCTTTCTCTTTGCGTTTCGATGGCAACAAAAAACATTTTAATTAATTACCTTCGAACCGCCGTTATGGTTTCTTTGTTTTTGAACTTCCGGAAAATATCAGTATACGTGTAAGTTTTCATAAACACCTAAATCAGAGACGGGATGAAGAAGAAATCATTATATAGTCATAAATTTATGTTCGATAAACTACGTCTGGTGAAGAAATGCTGCATGGTACAGATCATTATTGATATTACCTCTGAAAATTCTTGTTCTTCGTCAGCTGATTCATTTTGTTTCTTACGATGGTCCAAAAGCATGTGAACTTCACTTATTAATAAGGTTTCAGCATTTTCGAATTCTGAAATTATATATGTTTAGGTAATGTTGAATGTCAAATTAAGTAGCAAATCGAGACAAAACACAACCTAAAACTAAGATTTTATATAAACAATGTAATTGGGTTCATTGTGATGGTTTATTTATATAGCCATGTTCAAAAAAGAAATCGTACATAACACGAGTCTTGTTAACATCAATTTTAATTAATTTTCGTGCATCAGCCAATCGTAAGTATCCCAACTTATTATTCTCCGTAGTTAGAAGTTTTTTATATGTCAGGAAGGAATCTGGAATAACCCGAATAAGACTGCAAAGCTCTTGTTCATCTTTGCTCAATTTTTCGTAGTTTGAGAGGCCTGAAGAGAGAGAGAAAACAATAACCTGAAGCTCATATTTTCGTATGTAGAGAAATGCTATCCAAACCTATTATGTTCAGTGGAGTGCTTCGTCTCTTTTTTGGCAATTGGTTCAAATCCATACAATGTTTCATAATTTGTTCAGTTCCAGTGAGCGAATCCTTTTCGTTTTGAAAATGCTTCCATTCCCATAACGAAGGCTTAACATTACTAGCCCTAACTATCCGATTTATTTTCGCATTTTGAAAAATTTTCCCTCCATGACACGTTGTAATTCCCTTGGCGCGCAATTCGTAGAGTCTTCGAACGATAGGAATATTGCAATTGGTTAAAAACAAAATAGTGCATTAAATATTGCACAATTGCTAACGAAATACTGACTTGTTTAAAAATTTTCTCAGGTCATATTCATATTGAAGGCCTTCAACAATACGATCGAAAGCCAGTCCGGTTGTCAATTGCATCAATGCGACAAATCGTCCAGAGTACGAATCATTGTCTTGGCATTTTTTCAGGCCAGTCGCTTTACTGTATTTGGCCAACCAGCTTTTTGTGCGATTTGGTAAGATTAAACCGTGCGTGCGAACGACTTTATTACGCCGATGTCGTTCCCTGCAATAAATTCCATGAACAAGAACATCATAGTAAATTTATGCGATCTTGATTGAGTTGGATAATAATTATTTTTTGTTTACCTCAGTCTGTTATTGTAAGCGGTAACTAATGCACAATTTAAACTTTCACCAATATGTTTAAATTCATTATTCCATTCATTGTCTAGGCGTAAGTTACTGATGACACCCTCCGCTGACACGTCGAAGGGTGTATCAAAGTCACTTCGTGTGAAACGATAATCGGCCATACTAAATGCCATGTCTGATTTTCGGGGCGGATCAAGTGAGTTTAATCGATATAAATGTGGGATTTCAATCCGGCAGTATGGGTATTTCGTTAATTTACATGATCTATAGAATATCCCATCGAAATAGTTCTGTATGTAGTGATTACGACATTCATCGGCACTTTTTGTATTGATTTTCCGGCTAATATCTGACCACGCAAAATTATGTTGCATCAACAAATTTAGCAAGCTAGTATCTTCGCACGCAGACCACGATGTATTGGGAAAGATTTTCACATTATCGTGTATTATAATGTATGAGTGACTATTCAAATGGTTTCTAGATTCAGCGCCTTTTGCAAAACATTTGAGACAAATGTTGAATGTTTTTGTTATAATATTCTTCTGTTCACATTCACCACATGCTATATATGGTTCATGGAGCATTTGATTACAAATATCACATAGTTTTTTAACCACTGAATATGTAGATTACATCGAAATCAATTCAATACCGTTGCAAAGATGCATATGTATATAAGGGAACGTACAAGAGACGAGAAAACAAAATTGTTGTTATCGTAAAACTGAATGAAAATTTCATATAATTTTTCCCCTTGTATAATTACTTGGGACGTACCTTTTGGAAATTGCAGATCAGCACTATCCTCTTCCGTGGTTTCTATAGGGACGTGCGACATTATTGACTCGAAATTATTTAAAAATAAAATTGATAATAATAATAATATAGAGCACGTTTCAGCTGTGTCCAAATGACGCTACAATGCAAACCGAAGTGACATTTGATGCCGTACAATGACGGCAAAACGTTTCGGTAACTTTGCGCTTACTTTACTTAAGTACACACACTACACAAATATCTAGATATCTTTTTATTTTGCTCTTCTGAACATATTGATGAATTTATTCAATTCGTAATAACATGTTTTATTTGAATTTTTATTTTTCAATTTTTCAATTTTTTGTCAACAAGTCCGTCTTGTATGCGGAAACAATCGCTAACAATTTTCCATTTGTCGCCTTGAGCCGAGATCACGAATGTCTGCTGAAACTGTTTGCCTGAATTATTCTGAATACGAAACATTCCTGATACCATGATTAATAATGTTTTCTGATTTGATAGAGCATCATCAATTACTGGTTGCGCATCTAGAGTTGTCACCGTATGTTCAGTTGATGGCAGCCCTTGTATGAAGGTCTGAATGTTTTCTTTTCCGGTTGTACCATTTCCATTCCAAACGGCAATCGCATTGTCCAAATAAAATCGGGACATTTGCTGTTTGTAAATATTGGTGAATTGTTATATTCAATAACATATGTATATCATGACAAACTAAAACTTACATGCCGCTTCTTATCCAGGCTATCATAGTACCTAGAAAAGATTATGTATGTCGAATTATTAAAACGAATGCTTTGTAATAAACAATTGATCACATGATGAAATTACAATTTCGTAAAATCCTCTGCTGTTCGCGAAGATTCATCAATTTTTGATCTGAATTCCTATTTAAGAAAAACATAAAATATTATTTGAAAATAAATCGTTATTTGACTTTTTTTGAAATATAGTTTGAATTTAAAACTAACTGGGTTCATTGTTATTTTAAAAAACGTTTTATTCTTCCTTTGATTGCTTTTCGATGAAGTTATGTTGAATGATACCACACGAATCGAAGTACATTTAACACAATTCACTCCACAAACTACGTCAGTCCGCAAACAACTTCACCATATACTTTCGAAATGTATGGAAATTAATTGATATGTCAACAAAACACTCATCAATGTTTTCAAAGATTATTCACATAAAACATTAAAAAAAGAACAATTGAAAAGGGAAATCAAACACATACACACACAAATAAAACGAATGCTTTGTAATAAACAATTGAACACATGATAAAATCAAATGGTGCGAAATGTTTTCCTTATTTTATTACCTACGTGACTTTCACCAAATCTGTTTTTTTTATCTCAGGATCTTATTCTTCATTTTTTGTACAGTAAGTTAAAAGTTGAAAAGGATATGAGCTAAACTAAAGGGATGACCGGCACGCGATTTGGGAGAGCTGGAAGAAGCCGATTTTTCATAGGCTTAGGTGCACTTGTAATAACAGTCGTATTCATAAAATTACAGTTGGATGAAACGAGGTAGGTCATTTATTGATGTATCCATGTTTGGTGAATGTGAGCATTAAATTGATTATAAATAATTATATTGCTAAATGTTACAGAAGGATCGAAGTACAATGCGAGCAACAGAAAGAAGGTTGAAGAATTTGAACATTTTTGTTCTCCAATAATTGTTATTGCATTCTATTTTTCATGGTTCCAATTTCAATAGATTTGGAGAAAAAGTCAAAATCGGAAAGGAATGAATGCGAACAATTAAAATATAATCTGGAAATTCAATCTCAAAAGCAAGGTGAAATTAAGGAGAGAACTGTTCAAGAGTCAAATACCAAGCTGACATCACTTCAACAGCATTACAAACTTTTGAAAAATCAATGCGAAGATTTGAAAGAGGAATGTTCCAAAACCAAAACCAGCCAACTTGATAAAATAAATACTTTACAAAATAGTTTGAATTCTTATAAAAAGCAAAAGTCGTGTGAAGAAAAGGATAATGAAATTGAGATATGGAAGGTAGGCATGGCATGGCATGGCAAATAACTCGAATCGTGCATATAGTGTATATTATTTATCTATGTGGAACTCAAATTGTATTTTCCATATTTTAGGCAAAGTACTATGCACTATTAAACGAGAAGACCGCTACAAAACAACTGGACTTCCGATCGACAACAGATGATACGAAAGACATAGCTGTGCTAAAAAATAAAATAGAAAGTCCATCAACACATGCCACGGTGACAAAAAACTTTAATGCACAAATTGCAATCAGTGATAAACTGTATGCAATTTCAATTAAATACAACAACAATAACAACACCTCCACCAAATCAATTGAAAAAGATAAAGAGAATCTTGTTAAAGCAAAAACACCATCAACTGCTTCTATAGTTTCTTCAATCAACCAGATAAAATTCAATAGAAAGACTGAGGTGAATAATGAAAATGGAACATCGATCACGATTGAGAACAATAACAACAACAACAAATCTGATCAGATTGAACAGAAACTCATTAAATTTCCACAAGGGGTGGTCCCATTTGTTCAACCCAATTTAAATAATTTAATTGACCAACAATCTTCGGAAAACAGAAATCAACGCGAAAATCAAAAGAGTCTCGACACATTGAAAAGATTGCAAAAGGAAAATGGTGAAGATGTGGGTGCTCGAGAGGAAACCGATAATAGCAACTATTTTGTTGCAGAAGAACGCAAGGAAGAAAATTTGAACCAAGCATATGAAACGAATGACAAATCGAAAAAGGGCAAAGGAAAGAAAGATCAGTCGAACATAAATGATGATGATCTTCAAGTGATACAACAAGCCAGTGATGTTCTTGAGGACAATCGAAATAAATTGAAAAATGAAGTCAATGAAGATCAGGGTAAAACTCTATGATAATTCAAATATTTCCATTAAAAATTTCTATTACTTTCGTGTTATTTTCCCCTATGATTTGAATCTACATAGGTAAGGCCTACGCAGACGAAATGAACTTTCAAGTCGAAGATGAAGATGGTAATGTGTTTTACAAATATCCGCTTTGAAATGTTTTCTTAGAAAAGATATTTTTCAAACAGATGATGAATACGTGGACCATCGTGGTCATCAACAAGGTCAAGCTGTTCGAGAACGCCGTTGAACGGGATCCATATAATTTAATATTTGTGTGTTTTAATAATTATTTAGATTGATTAACTTGTAAAGTTGGTTTTCTATCACAGCAATTAAACATTTTACTTTTAAATTCAAGTGAAAAAAATTCATTTACTTTCGAATTATGAATAAACGAGAACACACCCAAAATTATTTTAGTTTATTAGTTAAAATGGCAGTAATTCCAGTCCGTTTTCCATCATCTGGATTCCATTTTCGATGTGGGTTGTTGACACTATTTGTGGGTAACGGAGCGCTTGAATTATTTGAGTGCTGATCCACATGTCCGGCTGTACGCCGATGTTGTTGCAATAAACTGTTTGTGATAAAACCTGGAGAATAGAAAAAAAAAATGCCGATGAAAAAACCTTCCTTAATATTTAAATGCCAACCACATTATTGGTAATTCGTTATTACGTTCTCCACAGTCCAAGCAGCCGAATGGCTTTTCTCCAGTATGTCTACGAAGATGGAGGGTAAGGTCATTAGACTGTGTGAATGCACGATCGCACTGAGAGCATTTATATGGCCTTTCGCCGGTGTGGACCCTCATATGGCGAACTAGTTTATTTGATCGCGTGAAACCCTTTCCACAAACATTGCACACACCTTTAAAAAAAATTCAATTAGTTTATTAAAATTGTCTGTTGTCGGCGGATTGAAATATCAAAAGATCAGATAAAGATGTTGGTACAGTACATGTCTTTTCTTTTGTGTGAATTCTGATGTGACATGTCTGAAAGAAAAAAAATTATAATATTTACATTAGATATTAATACAAATTCAAAAATTATATCTTTTGAATAAAATCCCGCTAAAAAAGGTATACCAAATCAGATGACCGGGGAAATCTGGCATCGCAAAATTTGCACTTGTATGGTCGCTCACCCTTGAATCGATTGAGACATTAATGAGATTTACATTATTTGGTAAAAGATAGAAATACTCACGGTATGTCTTCGTATATGCACCGTAAGGTTACTGGAGTTTGTAAAGCTACGTCCACAATAAGGGCACAGATGTTTTTTATTTATATCTGGCCTTAGTTCAGCTGGCAAGTGAACCCTCATATGAGATCTGAAAAGAGCAACGTCGTAAATTGCCCATTCTGTTTTCCAAATCGTTCACCAATTACTTACTTCAAGTTGTCTGAACGAGAAAAGAGTTTTTCACATATTTCACACGAAAATCGTTTCGGGCGGGGCAGATGGTGGGGTGCATGCGCACTTAACTGTCCCTCCGTCAAAAATGATCGTGGACATTGTTTACAACTGAATGGCTTGGAATTTTTCTGAATCTCATCGATAAATTTTTTCTCAGTTTCATGATAAACCGTTAAATGTCTTTCTAAACTGGCCTCCCACAGAAATTTACAGTTGCACATGCTGCATGTGATATTTTTGTATTCATTTTCGCATTGTTGCCGCACGTGCTTCGCTAATATAACAGAGTTTGGAAAACATTGCATACAATACGAACACTTGTAATCCCTGAATCGTTGATCATGATCCACTTTCATGTGACACATTAGCTTATGAACACGATCATAGCTTTGCGTGCATTGGCCACAATCGTATTTGGTCATTCTAATTGACTTTGAATCTTGCTCGTCATCAGTTTCGGAATCACTTAGCGATAGCTCCCATCCGTTTGAATTGGATATTCGATAAATTTTCGAGATTTGTTGTGGACTTTGTTGCAATGTCTTGTGTAACATTTCACCAATGTTTTCGCTATTGTAATTGATGTTGTTGAACTTTGACAACATTTCGTTTTTATTAGTAAAATCAATGTGATGAAAAGATTGTGGATCTTGTAAATGACTTTGTATATGACCGTCCAATTCATAAATATGATCAAATAACGCATCGCATATCATACAAATACATTGTTTCGATCCGTTGGGCTGCGTCCAGTTTGTAATAAATGTTTTGTTCGTCTGATTTTGCACGGCTTTCTTGTGAACGGCCGCAGTATGCGTTTTTCGTTCTTCGTATGTTTCAAATATAGCATCACAATATCTGCATAGTTGCCTTTTCTTTGTGTGGGTTGCAAGGTGTCTTTTGAGATGGCTCTTTTTACTAAATCCTTGGTCGCATATTTCACATTTGAGTAGATGCTTTTGTAGATGCAATCTTATATGATATTTCAATGTCGTTCGGTTTGCCAAGGTCTTCTTACAAAATTCGCATTCATATCTACCTAAGGGGAGAATTAGAAAGAAGAAAATGAAATTAATAGCACTTTTCAAGCCCGTTGAGAACCCTGATGGAAACTAGTAACAAATGATAAATGGAAAAGTAGGCATATCTACCATTAACGACATTAGATCTTTGCACGACATTTTTGTCCTCATCGTCATCATCACAACGATCGTCGTTGTCGTTGTCTTCTTCATTATCTTTGTTATTCATTGTTCCATGGATTTCGTCTTTCAAAATGTTGAAAGTTTCTTCCGTTCCATGAACCGTTTTTAGGTGCATCTTCCGTTCGTGATAGGTTTTAAATGAATCGTCACATTTATTGCATGAAAATTGATCACCATGTGTGGCCATGTGTTCTTGGAGTTTGTCATTATCCCCGAAACCCTGATTACATATATCACATCGCAGGAATAGTTTGGACACATGTAAACGAATGTGGAGTCGAAATGTTTGACGGTCGATCAGTGTTTTAGTACAGTATGGACAACAGTAACGACCATCATTTTGTGTTGCATTCTTGATAATTCGGTCTTCTTCGTCACTATCCATTGTGCAGTGCAATAAAGAATGTCTACGAAGATTAGAACCCTTTGCAAAGCTTCTATCACAAATTTTACAATGCAACAAATTCTTGCCGACATGCCTGCGAATGTGCAGTTTCAGTATTTTTCGCTGACTCAATGTCTTTGGGCAAATCGGACATTGTAATCGACCGTTTACTTCTTTTGCTGCATTCAACAATTGTGATTCCTCTTCATCAATGTGTATGCTTAATTTTTCCTCGTGTTTTTCTTCACTTACCGCATCATGTGTTGAAATTTGCTCATATTTCGGTAGACACTTTTTACGAGTCCGTTTATTCTTAGATGGGTCTTGTTCTTGAACGATAATTTCACTTGGATGTATTCGTGAATGTGTAGCTCTATGTCGATCCAAATGATTTTGTTTTGCGAAGCCACGATTGCAAATTTCGCAATGTTTCAAATTTTTGCCCAAATGGAGTCTAACGTGCAAGAGAAACGTTCGTCGATCAGCCAATGTTTTTTCGCATAGCTCACACTTGTATCGGCCGTTAACCTTTTTCGCATTATTAACTAGGCGGAGATCTTCTTCGGGTTCCGATTCCGATTCTTTGGCAGTATCTTCTATTTCTGCCTTGAAAAGTTCATCGCCAGTATTTTCATCAAGCAAATCATTTTGTGCATAGCCAGGAACTTGAACCAATTCTGGAATTAAGTCTGCGTCGTTTAAGTCTATTTCATTTTCCGTTTTTATCATACTATTTTCATTCATGTAATTTCGTAAATGGATATAACTTCGTGACACCAAATCTTTGAAGTTAATTGCTTCCTTTGCTTTCTGCATACAATCAACGCAAATTAGTTGTGGTAGATCATCATGCGGCTGAAAATATTGTAATATTATTGTAATTATTGTAATATTGAGCATGCAACGTTTTTTTGATGTAATATATGCAGTATACATTTATTGATGTACATTCCATCAGCACTTCTGCAATAGTCTTCGAAGCATCAGTATCCAAGAAATTGTTGATGCTTAGTTGATGCATGCCTTCAGCAAGGCAGCAACGACACGTTCTTTCAATATCTATGCTTATGTTGGACATTTTTCTTTCAGAAATATTCACTTTATCATAGTTTTATATTTTTAAATTTAATTTGCTGCGGGAACTGACTTTCCTTATTTTCGATAGTCAACTTTTATTATATATATCGAAACGTCAAAATGTACAAAACGTCAAAAAAGAACGTCTGTACGTGTACATGACAATGACATATAAAGCGTCGGTTTCACAGGGTGTGCTTTATTTCTATAGATACACAATGGAAAAATTGTGAACTGAGTGAACATGATGATATTCAAATGAATCTAACAAAACAGATTTATATATAGATATATACATACATACATCTTTATGTCTATGTGTCAATGTATTTATGTTGAATTGAAGACATACACATTCTGCAACATCTATTTACGAAAGAAAAACATTAATATCATACTTGTACATTGAATTACTATAAGATTGTGCAACTATAAGTCTTTTTTCAAATATAAACAAAACATTTTACTGTGTTGTTTGAATCATTTGTGAATTGTTTCCTTTGTTTTGATATCAATGAAAAAACTATAACTCTATGTTTTACACACTTCAGCTGACTACATGTTTCCAAATATACTGTTGTTAATTTATTCATATGAAAAAAAATTAGAATTTCTCGACAATTCAATCAATTTTGGTTCAAATGAATGCTCATTTTCATGTATTTGAGCACTGGTTCCATGTGTATTGTCATTTGCCTAGGAAAATCGATATTTTCTGGCTGTTTTTGAAATGAAAATATTCGTGTTTGAATGAATGGGCAGTGAGTTATTTGGTACAATTACCACAGCTTTCCCAACAACCTCATTTTAGGTATTCACCATATTTATGGTCATCCAATAATAGTTTTTGATTACTTTATTATTTGGACCTACTTCATGGTTCTTATGTGATATGAAGAAAACCGAAATTATGAACCACACGGCGTCTCATCGTCAGCTGTGGTTAATCCATATTAAATTGATTTATCGTGAAAATCAATTTTTTCGTGGTAAAAAAAAATAATTTGTCAGTCCCAATTAATGCAGCAAAAGTGTTTTCTTCTTATTATTTTGTTTTACATGCTGTGTATCCTCCATATGAGGTATAATGAGATTGAATTGAACTGGACTAGAATAACGTTATATAGAGTTGTTCAACCGTTCAGGGTACCTAAATAATGTCGAGAGACAAACGATTTATTCGGAGCACATGTTCTCGAAAACAAACACTGACATTTTTCAAAAATTTAGCTGCAAACAACTATCTGGCGAAAGAAAAATTAAAATTGTTTCGGTTGACCAAATCTGCCCGGTGTCTCACATTTATTCAAGAGCATTTAAAAATACTTAAAAAATTACACCAAATGGAAAAACGCATTTCGATTTAAAAAAATTATTATTTATTCAAAATCTCATTCCAATAGAAACACATATATTCATGTAATCGTCCACTTATCGGGTTATCGGATACGGGATAAAATCGCGAATATTTTGAATTTGTTTTTATAAACATGATATTCATTGAGCAATCTGAATCTATTGAAATATCAGTTCTAAGTTGTTCCCTTCAGAATACAATTTACATACAATAAATTGGATGATATTAAAATATATATAAACGACAGAAGCAAAACACATACGATTAGAACGATACAATTTAATGTTCTTCTGTCATACTCGAAATAGACCACGAATTTAAACTTAAACTGACATTTTTTTTTTCAAACATTTATAGAAAATGAATTAAATAGTATTCAACACAGTACATTGCAATGGTTGACCAATCTAATTATTCAAAACATCAAGCCGAGGCAGCATTTACTACACCTAGGTTAACTGTTTCACGGCCAACTAGTCTCTTGGCGATGACTCCGGAAAAAGAACCAATAATTTTTGATGCAAATTTGATCGGTGCACCACCTGAAATTCAAACATTAGTTGAACATATAAAAATTGTCGCAGAAAGATTTTTGTATCACTGGAAAACGTTTCCAATTAGTGAGTTGGACTTTTTTGGTGCAAAGTTCAATATGATTGACCAATTGTATTTATTTCAGCAATCCCAAAACCGTTATCAGCTGTGTGTGGTAATAACTTATTTGTAACACCACCGTTTGACGAATTAGACGCAGTAGCAATGGATGGTAAAACCGGAGAACCAAAAAGGCTGTCTTTTCCACAGTTGAAGGCAATTCAGGAACGAGGGTAATAAGATTTTATGTAAATATAATTAGCAATAATCAATTTTTTACAATCTAACCACCGAAAGTTCGATGTTCGTTGACTGTCCTGATTATATTCTTCAAATTTCACACATATTTTCCCATACTTTACAAATGTTCGAATTCCCCTGAGTTGTGTACACTGTACAGTGCACACATTACACTTTCTTGATAGCTTTTGATATTTGCTATTATTATTATTTATTGATTTTATAGTCTACTTTGATAAGCCGATTATATTTGCTATTTCTCGAGTCTTTTTTCTCTAGGTTTGGTTGAATTTACTGTGCGATAATTATTTTCGCGTCGTTTAATTATGTGATATTTTTTTTCGAAAAGTATTTAAAAAATCAAATTTCTGCATTTCAGGGAGTTCGAAGTACCCAGCCAAAACTTTCCGGGTCAAACACATCGATGGCGGCTTTCCAGAGTATTGCAGAAGGGTTCATTGCGGGCAAGAGAAACATTACTTGAAGATTTGGCATCAGCGGCGCGACTAATTTTTATAAATGCCAAAGGTCGATTATTTGGTCAATTTTTCTCAATTGTCGAGAGTTTCAGAGCTCTACTGCATGGATTTTTGTTATTGATCGATATGGTAATTGGCATTCCTTCGTTGCTCGCTCATGATTTGGATAAAAAAATCAAAGAGGAGAGGTGTCGATATCTTGTCGCTGAATTAATTTGCAGGGTAAATACCTTTGCGGTTTACTGTATGGGAAGTATCAAATTCAATTTTGTTTCATCAATTTTTTTTAGCCTGAATACGAAGACTGTATGGAATCACTATGCACTTATGTTCGAAGTCAACTTCAGAGAGCCACTACGGAGAAATTCGATGTAGACAATGAAATGGCTGATCTACCAATTCCATACTTATTTCTCACACCAAGTGGAATGGAAGTCGACTTGAGATTATTCTCACGGAGCACAATGAAGAAAGCTTTACCTATTATTTTGAGCATATTGGAACGTGAGCGACGTGGTTGGTTTTTGCACTTCCGAGAACGTGTAATTTCTGAATTACGAGACAAAAAAATGTCAGATGCTGAGATTGAGGATAAGGTAAACGAAGCAGTAATGCAAGAATATTTACAACGTGTTTACAGCGCAGTATTGAGTCATCCGGATTTGGGAAAACTTGGAGAAAAAGTACCACAGTTGCTAGTGCAACAAGCGCAATCAGTGGTGATTATGCATAAAGCGTATGAAAAGGTCGAAAAAGACATAAAGAGATGTAGCAATGAATACGAAATACGTCTGATTGAAGATCATCCCATTTTGTCGAAGATAAAAACTTGGCTTCAAATGAAGCTGAGAGATGAAGAAAGGCAAATGGTTTCTAAATGCAAATGGAGAGTTCATGAGGACGCCTTGTCAATGTGTCAAAAACATAATCTCCAACAAACGTCGTACTTTTTATCCAGAGATTTAACGTTTATGCGAGAACGCGAACCAGTCTTGCTCAACGAATTACGTCAAGTCAAGGAACCAACACGATGTTTTCAATGGCCTTGCCGAATTTGGCGTCCCAAATCGTTTATTATCCGACGCAATTTTCAAGGCTTGTCCGAAATTATACCGACTGTTATATGTCAGCAGGCATATACAAGCATTGTCATGCCAAGGCAAGATCCAAGCCAACCGGTTTTTCTCATTGAAAAAGAAATCATTCGAAAGAACAGTACGAGATGGCCCTTTTGGCGTGTATTGAATATGATACAACGAATATGGTGCTATACATGGAATGTAATGTATTTGTTGGGACTCGTTGTTCCTTGGGACAGTCCATTATCAGTTCGCGCTTTGTTCTGCATCAAACCATACATTACTTATGCAGGGTTAGAGCTTTCGCAAATTAATGGAACACTTTTCCCGAGAAAAACGAGTGTAACCCAAACTCTTGCATCGCGATTATTGCATCTATGGAGGCACGTTTCGAAAGCACGAACGCGTTTCGAAACAGAACCCGATACAGGTATATTGTGATGTGTAAAATGGACATTTAAAATAATTTGAATGTGATGTTGTTAATCATAGTGAGATCTTATTTTGTCTTTTTTTCTTAGGTTTTATCAGTAAAGGTATGACTCGAGCTATCAATCAAACCTGGAACTACTTTTTCAAAGGGTTCATTGGTACAGCATTCATTATATTTATATATCCAGTATTATGCATTGCGGCTAGCCTTGTTAGCGTCGTTCTAGCCTTGACAGCACCATTTTGGATCCCTATAATCGTAATTTTCCTGCATTTATATATGATTTTCATATATGACTTCGATTGCCCCAATGATGATGAACGAAATCGGTACTGTATATTCTTGGAGGCAATCGTGTGGAATATTGGGATTCAAGGGTGTTTGCAACCAATCCTATGTCTTTTTGTCGGTGGAATTTTATGTCCTCTGGCTGCAACAACTATATTCATTGCCGGTATTGTCCGATATTCATTTCGGTTGGTGTGGGATTTCATTATGTTCCATTTGTTCATTGAAAAATGTGGCCGAGTTCCCAGTAATGACAGCTTTGCTGTTAAAAGAATTTCTGGTCCGGGTTTAGCTTTGAACTATTATTTCTCCATCAAATCTGAACAAGCGCTAGCTTCTTTAGAAGCAAAAATGGAATTGGATGAACTGGATGCTTTCCAAAAATTTTCCGAAAATTTCATTCTTCAACCACAACGCGATTTCAAACAGTTCGTAGAAGCCTGTTTCGGTCCATTTTCATCTCATCTCAATTCCAAGTCCGGGCCATATAAAAATTTGGAAAGAGAAAGTCGTGATCTACTGTGCTTACTGAATGAAAAGCTGGAGAAGAGGAGACGTGAACTGCAAATAAGTTTGCCAGCAAGCGTAAAGAACCGCATCAGACTTCACTCAATGGATCTTAAGATTTCCATACAGCACGGAGCTCATTTATTGGAAAGGTTTTATCCAAAGCATGTTATTGATCGTCTTTTAATATCTGAAGATGAGTTTTGGGACTCGAAAGTAAGTTCTCTACACTTCAATCAAATTCATTTCACATTTCACAATGATAATGAAAACATTTCGAATAACAGAACCTACAAAATGGGGACTGGGCTGGGTTGGCGAGTCACTTGTATACGGAAGTTTTCAGCCTAGATTTTTTAACACCATTATGTGAGTCTGACACTAGATTCCATCTGGAACCGCATCCTCAGCTTGACTTAGCACGCTACGTAGAAATGGTGCAAAGTGCTAGTGATACAACCGGTATACATGGACCTGATTTACTTGGAAATGTTTTTGCACCCAGGGGAAATTTACAAATCAACTCGCCATATTTGGAGGTTTCAGCTTTCAATCCACGTTCCAATCTGATGGCAATATTAAAAAAAAATGACAAAGGATAGTGAGTATTCAGAGATATAGGCTATTTTCACAATGATCTTCATCTTAAAAAAATGCTTCTATTAGAGTGATAATGATTTTAATTAGAGAGTTTATCAATTTTGTTAATATTTTTCTTGAAAAAGAAACTAAGAAGAATGAATGGATTTAATTCCAGCACGATTAAGCATTTTTCTCCTCACAATAAATCCTAAAATCAAACTTTTCATAAACACGATAAAGGCGAAGGATATTGTTCAATAATTAAGTATTGCTTTATTCTTTTTTTTCAAGCGATTTGTTAAATCGATCAACAATAAATCAAATACGTCGGAAGCAGGCAGTACTAGCACTTACGAATACAAATGCACTGGCAGGATATAAATGGATGCACTGGATGCGAAAACCGAATAACGAAGTAATTATACCGAAAACAATGTTGAATCCGTTGCCACTTCCGCATCCAGTTTGTATTGCAATTGAAATTTACAACCGCGATAGTGATGATCCAATTCGTTTGGATGACAATGTTTCTTGGGATATTTTGAGGGCCGTTGAAGAGTGTAACATTGACATACAAGTATGTTATATTTTTTCCTAATATTTATAAATAGTATAACAGTGTACGGTTATCATATAACATGTTCATAACAAAAACTGACTTCACTTTGAAAAACCTAAAATTCATTCAAAATGTGAACTACAGATGGGCGGACTATCTGATTAAGATTAATTAATCTTAATCAAACACCCAAAATTCGCGATGATTAATACGACCACTTAATCACTTAATCGCTATTAATCATGAATAAATGATTGTGCAATTGATTAATTAATCATCGATGATGATTAAGTTGTTGTCTTGATCACGATGTCGCCGTGATTAACTGTGACAACTTAATCATGATTAAGTAAATAGTTAATCTTGATTAAGTAAATTCTTAATCATGATTAAGATGTGATTAACGAAATGATTGTGTAGAATTAATTAATCATGATTAAGTAAATTTACTTAATCATGATTGTGTAAATAGTTAATTTAGTTTACTTTGAGTTTGAATATCGGTACAAAAAAATATTATTATTATTCTGCAAAAAAATATATAGAAAGAGTTGCAGTGCAAACCAATTTACTGTAGTTTTTATTATATTTTCAACAGTCTTTTGTCTGTGCACCGAGCAAACATGATTCAAACTCAAAGTAAACGTTGAAAGAATGGAAAATGGGAATCATTTTCAACATTTCTGCATTTATGGCGTCTAATGATTAATTAAATCTACACAATCATTTCGTTAATCACATCTTAATCATGATTAAGAATTTACTTAATCAAGATTAACTATTTACTTAATCATGATTAAGTTGTCACAGTTAATCACGGCGACATCGTGATTAAGACAACAACTTAATCATCATCGATGATTAATTAATCAATTGCACAATCACTTAATCATGATTAATAGCGATTAAGTAATTAAGTGCCATCTTAATCATCCAAAAATGATTGTGCAAGTGATTAAGTAATCGCAAAACGCCCACCTGTAATGTGAAATGATGTTTTATTATTGAAGTCAGTTTCCATTTTTTTTACTTCGAGATTAACACTTTGACGGTTCTTCACACTTTTTACCTATTTCTGTTCTTTGGGGACTCCAGGGTCCCATATGTACTTCATATGAAATCTGGACTGTGATAAGAGATAACAAAATAGTGTCTGAAGCAAAGTTGTAATACTTGAGGTTCGCTATAATTTTGCTGCAACAAATATTGCTTATTCCGCGAAAAACGCAAAAAAACGCGAAAATCGCTAAATTTTCCCACCTCGTTTTAGTGAAGCTGATAAGAAGTAAGAGACTTTCTTCTTCGGCAGAAATGTAGAGCAGGTCGAGTACTACAACTTTGCCACAGACACCAAGTCGTTATCTCTTATCAGTTTCGCGAAAAATGATTATCAAAAACTCGCGTTTTTCGCGTTTTTTCGCGTAATTGATAAGAGATAACGACTTGATGTCTATGGCAAAGTTGTAGTACTTAAGCTGCTTTACAACTTTGCCGAAGTTCATCTTGTTATCCCTTATCAGTTTCGCGGAATACGCGAAATTTTTCACGGAACTGATAAGAGACCGAAGGGCTTGCGACGCCTGTTTAAAATACATTCAAATATTCCAAATATTTAAAATATTTTCAAATATGTCAAATATACGAAATATTAGGTTCAATTTTGTACTGCAATATTTGAAATAATTTCAAATATTTTCAAATATGTCAAATATTTCAAATAATTTTAGGCGTCGCAAGCCCTTCGTAAGAGACAACGACATGTTGCCTATGGCAAAGTTGTAGCTCTGGTCGAGTACTATAACACTGTAGTAACATTTTACACTTTTGAAATGTTCGGTTCAACACATGAAAGTCAGATTTTAGTTGCTGGCGAGCCCAGATAAACCTCATATTTCGTTTTGATAAGTTGGTGGATTCAGTGGAAAAAAAATGTTTTTCAAATTTTTTATCAGTGATGTTAGAAAAATGGTCGAAAATGGCCACTTACGATGTTTTTGTCTTGGACAACTACCATTTTTTCGTAAAAAAAATATGGGTCTCGGAACACTTGAATACCGGTTTTCCTACAAATTTGCTCTAAAATCGACATTTCTTCATAAAATTATCGATCGGTTGAAAGATTGACAAAAAATCACGTTTATGGCATAGAAAACCCTCGTATAGTGACTTGCTATGGGTCTATATCCACACTATTTTTGACGTAGAATTAATTTCTAGTATCATTTTACACATTTTTATGGTTTTAGTGTCAAAATATACGATTGCTTCAAAACAAATGAGCGAATGACGCCCATGAGCTTCGGTTCCATGGTTGAATCACACCATAGAGCCAACAATTTCTGCCTTTTCTACCTTTGAACTTCTAGTATGATCCCTCACGAACATTTTGAGTACCGACATGACCAAGTCGCGTGATGTTTTCATATATTTCTAGCCTCATATTCCGTTGCTTCGATTACAACTCTCAAAAAATCGACTTTTCTTCGAAAAATCATCAAATATACACTTTTCATGGTAAGTGTCTGGCGGAAAGTTATTTTTTCTTGAAAATAATGGGAGTCTTCTCTGTCAAAAAATTTGAAAAATGCATATTTAGGGTACCTCCCGAACAAAAGTTACGTTTTTCATGGCAAATTATCATTTTTTGTTCGGGAGGTACCCTAAATATGCATTTTTCAAAGTTTTTGACTGAGAAGACTCCCATTATTTTCGAGAAAAAATAATTTTCCGCCAAGACACTTACCATTAAAAGTGTATATTTGAGGATTTTTCGAAGAAAAGTCGATTTTTTGAGAGTTTTAATCGAAGCAACGGAATATGAGGTTAGAAATATATGAAAACATCACGCGACTTGGTCATGTCGGTACTCAAAATGTTCGTGAGGGATCATACTAGAAGTTCAAAGGTAGAAAAGGCAGAAATTGTTGGCTCTATGGTGTGATTCAACCATGGAACCGAAGCTCATGGGCGTCATTCGCTCATTTGTTTTGAAACAATCGTATATTTTGACACTAAAACCATAAAAATGTGTAAAATGATACTAGAAATTAATTCTACGTCAAAAATAGTGTGTACGCGTATTCCGCAAAACTGATAGGAGATAATGAAATGGTGTCAATACCAAAGTTGTAAAGCAGCTTAAGTACTACAACTTCGCCACAAGCATCAAGTCGTTATCTCTTAGCAGTTACGCGAAAAGCCACGAAAACCGTGAAAAACGCGAATTTTTTCTTATCATTTTTTCGCGTAACTGATAAAAGATAACGACTTGGTGTCTGTACTAAAGTTGTAGTACTACGACCAAGGCTACAACTTTGCCATGGACACCATCTCGTTATCTCTTATCAGTTCCTTGAAAAATGAGAAACTATGAATTCGCGTTTTTCACGTTTTCGCGGCTTTTCGCGTAACTGATAAAAGATAACGACTTGATGTCTACGGCGAAGTTGTAGAACATAAACTAGTCTACAACACTGCTACAGACACCAAGTCGATATCTCTTATCATAGTCCAGTTATAATATAAAATAGCCATGGGGCCCTGTGGTCCCCAAAGAACAACAGCGTAAGATGTTTTTCGGAAGGCTGTATTTTACACATACTCACACATATGCATATGTGTATATGTCATTCGTGTAGAGAAATGTTCAATCTATACAATGAGACTTAAATCCGGTTGGTTTATACACTGTTTAGTACTTTTATTCACGTTTAAAGTTCGCTTGGGGCCCTGGATTCCCCAAAAACCGTCATAGTGTTAAAAGAATATATACTATTTTGTATTTAGGCCGTGGACTTTGTGGCTCGGTATAGAGGAGGTGGAAAATGTGAAATGACATCTACGGAATCTTCGATAGATTCATTAGATGGTGAAAATGACGAAGATAATCAGGAGCAGCAAATATCATCTCACGGGTCACAAGAATGTGTTGGTGGCAAAGAAACTCTTCCATGTCATGTTACAACGTCTGATCATCTCAACAACGAAAAATCTTTCAAATGGACTTTGAGTAATTGGGGTGCTATGCAACCGCAACGTAATAATTCCGACACGATCCGAGTGGATCTTGCAAGTCCTGAAGATATATCACTCGACACGGATAATAGCTCTAGAGTAGTGTCTAATTTCAATGCTTTTGGGACGACCGTATAAAATGTAGAAGCTAACAAAAACTCGTTGCAGCTAACGACACTAATCGAGCATTGAAAACTTGATTGGACTCACTCGATAAGAAAATATTCATTTTATAATATTATGATAATCGCACATAAACGTATTATTATAGAATTTTTATCAACACATATGCTTTTTAATACCCCAACTAGCTCACATTGAAATAATTATTAAGATTCATTTTACATTTTTTTTACATTCAGAAAATTTTGTCCAGGATAAATTTGTCGTAATGTAAATGTAAATAGTTTCGTCGAAATTTTGTATTGTCAGGGAAGGGAACCTTCTTTCAATTGTTCTACTAGTCAGTCACAGGTCGTGTTCAGCGACCTAAGATATTGCAAATACATCTGCTTTTAATCATTTCTATGCTTCAAGTTCATCTTTGGTCAAGACTAAAATCATAACATATGAGGAATATTTGTACGAATCTCATATTTTGAATGTTGAAAAAATGTTTGTTATTAAATATTCGCATAGTATTAAATAAAATAATAAGTGTTTTTCTCTTATAATCAGTATTATTTACTTTTCTAATATTCAACTTATACCCATTATTCAAGTTAAAGCATATCTCCATTGGTCAGAATCAAAAGGAAATAAAAATACAATAGTAATTACATATATATTTTGATATTTAATTGAATTAGTATCGGGATTTTTTTTGGATCCGAATCGAGAATTTTTTGACATTTCGTTTTTTTCTATTCAAGTATACTTTCGACATCTATAGATCATTATGAATTTAAATTCGTTTATCATAAATAATTTCACGAATTGGCAACAAATCGATGAAATGGGAATTTTAACAAGCTTTCAACCTTCACTGATGCTTAATCATTGGAAGTATGAAAACTTTCTTCGGCATCCAACGATCTACAAGTTTTTGAAGCTCCAAATTACTCTGTTGTTCATCACTTCGTTTATCACGGCTATCTTCATTGGTGCTGAATGTTACTACAAATTCCGGTAAATTTTGCCAACCAGCCTTAAGCGGATACAAATTAAACTCCAAATTGTAGGTTGATTGTGCAAACAAAGAGATATTGAACTGCCGTAGAAAAAAATATATGTTCAAATGGAATAAAAGAACAAAAGTTTATACAATAAACCTTATATAATAACCAATAAAATACCTGAGAATGTCCAGCAAACATAAAATTATCCGCATTTTTCAAACCAGTTTTGAGATGAAGCGTTGAATTCGTTGTGTTTCGAAGTGAAATTATGAGTGTCATTGGAACTTTTACAAACATTATTTCATCCAAATAACAGTGAATATTCAATGGTGCCTCCACAATTTCAATGGAATTAACGAGGAATTTGGACTCATTCTCAGCTATTTCTCCACATCGACGCCAGCGAACGCAGTAAACACCCATAATGTGTGGAAATGAATCGTTTGACAAACCAATTGTGTTTGCGTTCAAAAATCCTTTTCGGCTTTCGATCATGTTAAATCCTTCAATTGTATGGTTGTATATGGTTTTTGGTTCTGGTATTATATCATTCTGAATGTTTTCTTGGTTTTCACTTTCGATACTATTTGTTTTGAAATCTTCCGAGAACATATTCAAAGAAGTATCCATAACGCTAGGATTCTTTGGAGTATTTTTACCAGCCGATTTTTTCTTCAATACTGATTTCCATTGTGGAGTGGTTTTTTGGTAGTCAACACGATTAACCCATTCAAGTGTAGTCTGTTCGGCATGTAGCAGTAAAATGTCATAAACTTTCTCACCTTGAGAATATGATCTGTTGTGCTTCCGACGTGATTTACTATAAGGCTTCTCCGTAATGTTATAATCCTAAAAATATTCCCAAGTATCAAATATCAACAGATCGAATACCGAACATTTTTAGGGTGCGTTCAATCGTATTTCTAACATATATTGTCGAAATAGGTGAACATCATACATTTTTAAGAGTGTAAACCAACAATATAAATGGAAAATATTCAGCAATGCATGCTCTAACGGCATCAATACGGTTTAGTTTGGAAGTATAAAAAATGCAGAAATGTCTGTAAGAAATGACATTTCAAACGTTATTCATGATTCAAGTCAGTGAACTTCCGATACGGACAAAAGTAACTCTGAAAGGTTTTGGAATTGCTGAATATATTACCATTGCGCTTCATAGCGTTGGTGTAAACACACAAGAAGAAAATCACTTACGCTTATCAGGAACATATCCAAAATATCGATTTCTGTAGATTTTATTTGCAGTTCAACCTGGAACAGAAAGTCCTCATGTTTTACCGCCTTCCTCAATGGTTGTTTATTTAGCGAGAAAAATTGTCCAAAGAATGTGAATTCCGCTACACATGGGATGACGATGGTATCTTTTTTCGACTTGTGGATCGCGTTTTCGATATATTCTAAAGTTACATTGGACTCAACTTTGATTTTTTTGTGCGTATCTTCAATATCAATTGAGTCAGCAACCGATTTCGATCGACTGTCCATTACTTTATAACGAACCACCTGTTGAAGCTCTAGTGTCCCATCAATTAAGCTTGTGACATAGATACATTTAGATTTCGTAGATTTAGAAGGTATGTCCCCAATGAACACTTCCAAATGTGACAATAATTTTTGCCGGGATTTGGTTTGATCAGACGCCATGAACACTAAAAGCATTTTAAATTTTTTAACTTGATGTATGCAATTGGATATATCAAAGTCGCTAACCTTTATTTCGAAGATGAACTGGTACGGTTATGAGAAGACTCACATTTTCGGCTAACATATCAGAAGGATTTTCAATTCTGATTGTAACCGCAAAGTATTCATTCGTCAACATGAATTTGTGACTCAACGCTATTTCGGTTTTCAAGTGAAACTGTGGTTTTATATAACAGGTTGAGCTCTCGTTCGCAATATTACTTTGATTGTAGATTTTAAAGTTACTTTTTAGATTCAGCGGTAGGCTTTGTTGGAGTGTTATAAAGTTCTCTGATGTGCCGATTTTGATTTCTAAACGTATAACCTGAATAAATGAGGAAAAAATTCAGTTGAATCTCTTTGTTTTTCTTTCTTCTACTATCTTTATCCAACGACATCGTATTAAATGTTATTTAAAATATATGAAGCTTTTATAGTAATTTTTGTTTTTCTACTTACACGCAATTCCGAATTTTCATCAAATTGGTAACGTTCTCCATTGAAAGATATTTTATATAATATTTTTGGTTGGATCATGACATCACCATTAATATCATTTTCGATTGCATTTACATTTTCAGCTTTTGCATCGCATTCGACTTCAGTCCAGTGTTGCGCAAAAATCTCATGCAATGATTTATTGTCCGTCAAAATAATCATCACAAACTCCTGAACTTTTATTGGAACATCAGACAAAGATCTAAGATGTCAAAGCCATTGTTAGTTTAATTTTGGAGATTGGTGAAAAGTTCTTTATTATTTAAATTACCTGATGAATAAGTCCACGCGTGCCACATCATCTTTTTCAATTCGAGTTTGGTTGAATTTGATTGTACAATCGAAAAGTTCAGTGAATTTATCTAAATCAAATGTTAATTTTGTATTAAAAGTTTCAAGCGATTTTTCCCAATCAATGTGTAGCTCGGGGACAATTTGGCTTTGTGTCAATGGCGGAACTTTTTGAAACACTTTCCATAGATTTTCCAATATGGTAATGCGTTCGGATCGTTCCAGAACAATTTTGTTTGATAAACACTCTATGCTGCATGCGATAAAATCAGGAATTGATGCGGACAAAAAGGCAGATCGGAGCGTTTTTAAAAGAACTTGAGAAAATATGACATTCCATTGCTCGGTCCGGTATTCAGAAAGCATTAAGCTGTAAAGACTGTTAACACGCGATAACAAAGCTATCAATGAGCAGATAATTATAATGCAGATATACTTAGACTTTGTCGGTAAATGCAACTACTTACGTTAGAGCTTTGGATGCATCTCCAACTTTAAGATATTCTTCTGCCATTTCGATGGCGAGTTTTTTCCGAAATCTGGGGCATTTGTATATTTTGAATTGTGCCATGGCTTGTCCCAACAGTGTAATATAAGCCGTAGAATGGTTAAAATATTTTTCACATTGCTGTACGATTGCAATTATTTGTTGCTCATTCACCAGGTCCGATCGATTACCACCACGAACACCAAAGAAATCACTATATAATATGTTAGAGTAATTCAGGGCATTTTGATCTGGGAGCGATATGAAATCAATAAGCGGTGAGGACACTTGACAAATTTGTTGAAAATTATCTTTGCGTTTCGCCATATATTCTGCACTTTTGTGATAATAAATTCCTGGATGCTGTGTTTGCAGCGCTGGCAGTCCACACTTGATAGCTTCACAGAATAAATCTGCGAAAGCACTATACCTGTAAACATATGTTCGTTATTGCAGAATTGGAGGCAATTCTATGTCAAATATTGTTCCAGGATCATATAAACTTACTGAACGCTCAACCACGCAAAATGTTCAAAAATCAACTCCTTATAACCAACTCGATTACGGTATTTATCGATATGCGTACGAAATTGTGTGATTGCATCACGAGGTGAGCCTATATTGAACATTGTTTGGCAAATCTTATAGTTGAGAAAACCAGCGACCACTTTGATTTCCAAACAGTTGCTATCAACCAATTTCAATTCCTCCAACCATTCGTAGGCTTGGCTATAGTGTCTGCATCCAAATGAAACAAAAAAATAGATTTAAATATCATTACGACCATTGCTTCAGTTTTCGTGCTTCAGTTTTCATACTTTAGAGCGGTATTTTGATCTACACGCATTTCAGCATAGAATCCAAGCTTGAATTGATGTCGAATTTTCAACTCCAAATGGGATGTTAGCTGATCTCTATGACCACGGACATATTTAGTTGATTGTAAGTAATACGATTGAGCATGCTCCAGAAAAGCTGACTCCAAGCGCAATGTGTATCCAATTAAGTTTTCATTGTAGGGAAGAACAAAAATCATTTTCGGATTTAAATCGCACTTCGATGCCAACGTAGAGTGATCACTTGAGAATGTTTCGTCAGTATTTGTGTTTTTTTGTAGAAGAACGATTGCCAACTTTGTGTGTCTACCCTATAAATATAGGTTTATTACAAATTTGAGCCGTTATTAGAATATTGTGTTTTCCTCACTTGAAGAGAATTTTTAATCGTTTGCATTGTAGAAACGCATTGATATTGCTTTTCCGTCCAATCAGGATCATTCCACTCCATGTCTTGAAACAGAACAACCACTGCAGGTAACACATGCAAATGCTTTAAAATCCAATTACGTTTGAGTATTCCTTTGGGTTGATACCACTCATAGGATTGCCGCTTCGGTTTTACAACTGGTAGCTCATAATTGGTTGCCAAAAGTTTGAATTGGATTGCAGCTCTGCAGTCAAAGTAACATTGATTCTAGAGAATCGATTTAAATGGCAGAAACGTAATATTATAGATACCTGTCAGACTTGCGATTTGTATTAAATGCATCCCAAATGGACTTATGTGTGAGATTTCTGTTACAGTCGAGTCCTGAAAACCCAATAATCCAATAAATACGCCATTAATAAATTAAATATTAGTAATATATACTAGTTATATTAGTATTAATATATTAATTAATATATTAGTTATTTTATTGTACGCCATTATTGTACCTAAAAACCCAATCACTGGCTGCGGAGTTTCCAATAATTCTGGTGGAAGCATATTTGCATCTGAAGGCACGGTTATTGGCCTATTACCTTGCGCACTATTATCTGGTTGATTCATGTTGAAGTTTTTTTTTTTGGGACTGAATGGGATTATACGAACTTGTTTTTTTTTCACTACAGCCACCAATTTCCTTATTTCTTCTTGATAAACTTTTTCTTCGATTGCTCAATGATAAATTAGAATGATTTAATATTGACAGCAAATACAGATTACAAACATATTCATTGACAACTCAGAAACTTCAAAATGTTTGACAGGGCTTTGAACGCATTACGTTGCGCCAAATGTTTGACAAGCATTTAGATTACGAATGTGTTTTCATTTTTGAGTTATACAACTAAATGTTATTCTTAATTTTCAATGGCTTAGAGTACGATCAATATATCTATTTATTATAATGAATAGAAAAATATATGATTGTATAGAGATACTTTTCCAATTTATTCTTTTCAGCAAACTAACTTCACACTGTTTATATGATGTTTTTCACACCCATACAACAGCAATCCAAGAGATACGCCGTCAAAAACACTGAAATCAATTGTGTCTTGCCATATGAATGTGATCGTAAAACAAAAGTCTTTGTGAAGTGCGAAGCAATAATAGTTCTCATTGAAATGCTCCCATAACAAGAAGCACATAGCCTGCCAAAAGAATGAAACTTTAAAATTCAAAATACAAGTTCAGAGCATTTTTGGGAACCGTTTGCTATTAAGGGAAATTTTGGTTTGAAAGTGCAAATTCAATAGTCTCATTGTAATTTTAAAGTGATTGAAGACTTTCATGTCTGTTGTTCCCTTGGCTTCAAGGGGAAATTAATAAATGTGCTTCAATTCACCCAATCTAACTGGAATATATTTCAATCATTCGCATAAGTGACGAGTAAAGTTTATTTTTAATTTGTGCGCGTGGAAGTTTCCGATAACACTTTTATGCTGAGGATAAGAAATCTAGTCGCAAACGAAATTTCGACTGAAACACGTTCATATTGAATAGATGTAATCACAATGGCTGTTTATTTCATACCCAAAAATCGTCTGTAAGTATCCTCTTCATTTCCTGATAATATTCGACGTTTGATTTCTTTTGATTATTTTTTTTGTGCTAATTATTGAATAAAAGTCAGATAACAAATGTTTAAATCAGACTATTTTTTTAATAGTAATAGTAGAATAGTATAATGAAATGGTATTCAGTTTGTAGGAAGACATACAAAGTCTTAAAAAAACGAAACAATATTTTTTCCATGTGCAAAATAAAATATTTAGATTATTTATTGCATGTCCGTAGCACGTGCAATTGAAATCAATCTGTCGGTACCAAGATTGAACTCTGAACAAAATAAGATAGTTTAATGCTAATGAAATTTTTCACAATTTTCAACTCTATGAAAAAAAATCACGAGTGTGCAACATGTCATTTTTTACAGCTGTTTGAGAGAAATTTCAAATGCTCTCTTTGCTTTTATGTTGTGTTTCTTCTCTTTGTAGTTCAATACATTTGAACAAGATTTACTGAATGTCTTTAGTTTTTCTTCTGAACCCAATGTTTTTAATTTATTTGGGAAATAGATTTATATTTCAATGGTTTCTTAAATAACCGTTGAATTTTGAATGACTTTATTGCTTGTATTAAAAAAAATTATTTCATTCAAACAAGTGTCCGTATATTATGTGAATAGAAATGATTCCGATAAGACGTCACAAACACTTGGAATGAAATCACATTAGCGAGCATTATCACAGGAACGCAGCATATAATACATAAAAAATCAACAGTAAACCGTATTGGCGCGGTCAAAGTACTTTAAAACTCATACCAAATGTGCTTACATTAGAAGGAGATAAGAGACAAAGGAATTTAAAATGTCAAATCAAAAACAGATAGCATGTTTAATTTACTCAAATTATTTCATTTGTGATGCCTGAAAATTTTCTAGAACATATTTCTTCTTGTTTTTTTTTTTAAATTTAAACATTCAATGTTCACATCGATTGAGTCAATAATATTATAATCGAAGCAAAGTTGGTAAACAAAGAAATTAGCTTCTGTTGTGTCTGAAATTACGTAGGATGGTGCTAAATATATATATATATTTATATATCACATATATATGTATATTATTATATGTATATCACATAATGATCTATATATAAAATGATTGAAAATACATCAATAATAACAATGATTGACCATGAAAAGCTATGGCTATGATTATTTCTTGGCAAATTTTGTCCACAAATAAATGATCCAAAAAATTTGTTTTTTAAAAAAATATTCCAAAAAGCATTCCAAATGCATGTCAGCTAATATGGCTTCAACATTATTAGCAGAATTTGTTCCATTTATCCATTTTCTCGTTTATCTTCTGCAGATTTTCAGGGAATATTTCAAGTGTGAATTTTACACAAAGTAAATGGGCTACTCGTTGGATAACAGTTTATAAGTCTTCCTCAAATAGTACAAACTTGCCATCCAATGGCAAAAAAATTCATTCACGATTTTATTCGGCAAAGCAGGTGAACGATACCAAAGCGGGGGCTGTATCAAAAAAAGGTAAATTTAGTAAATTAAAACGTATTCGAAAATCGTGGGGATGGAAAGCAGGGGCTGGTTGGACTATATTGTCTGTATTGGATTGGTGGTTATTAGCTACAGGCGGTTGGTTGACATGGCGTAATTTGATTCTGAAGTGGACACCAATTGGAATTGGCTTAGCCTCACTCGTTCATTGGCATCTACATTATAGGTAAGTTAATTTTCATTACGCGTAGTTTCAATTAAATAGCAGAAAAATAGAGTGCTAGACAATCTTTGGGATGACACAGGAAATCTTAGATGGGAACTTTTATTCCTATGTTGACTACTGGACCAAATTCTCATTTTTTGTAGAAAATGTGATGAACTGGGCCAACCCCGAACCGCGTCAAGATTTATGGTAACAATTTTTACATAAGAATATTCGATCTATTGTAAACCACAATGGAAAAAATGAAAAAAATAAATAACAAGCTTCTTTTTCTTTGGTAGACTGAGGTATATTGTTCGCTACCACTACGCTTAATCAGCCGAACTTGGGGATGGTTAGCTGACTGTAGGGTACCAATGCCATTTCGACCTGTAGTTTATGGCGTGTATTCCACCGCTTTCGGTGTCAATATTGAGGAAGCCGAAAATTCAAATTTCAAGTGAGTAAATTTAAAGCATAGTAAATGCATGTATACATTTAATGATTTCAAAATTTCAGAGTTGTTTATTAGGTATTTTTTTTCACTACCCATCTAACAATTATCAACCCAAATACATCCGATTCCAGGCACATTTCCAAGGTTGAATACGGGGATAGATTTAACCGTAGAAGTAACCGTCATAGTGATCCAATTGTGCATGGAATGAATGGAGAAAAAATTGCATAAAATTAGCATCAATACATTCAATACTCTTATTTCAATTGAAAAACAATTTACTTACATGGGTACTTCTGGCTTCTTTCGAGTTACGCCTTCTATACCACAACAATCAGGCATAGCGGAAATAACATAATGTTATATTTTAATTTTTGAATTATTCAATGTGAATGGCGTGAACGACGATACATGATGCTGGTTAGTTGTTGACAGCAGCTCGCTGGTTGGATGGCCTCTGCAATGTTTCGGGTAACGTGTACCCAAACAAGTCACAGTGTCCTTGAAAATCATACAAGAAAACAATGAATGATATGTAAACAAAGCACTGCACCTCACATCACATGCAATTCAATCAATATATTATGAGCACTTACCTTTGATCAGGATACATTTTGCAGCGGCTATGTCACGATGCCATTTCGTCTTGTGTACTCGTGGCTCGACAACTTCCCTCAGAAAAGTGTCGACTCTGCGTTTTGAAGCAGAAAGTATGCATTTTGCAATACCTTACGACTATTTCACAATCGATCTCCCGTTACAATGCTAATGCCGCTCTGTGAACGATCAACACGAACAAATGAGATTCACGTCTGTGTTAAGAAACGAAAAAAAATGAGGAAAATCAATCAGATATGATGTATTTTCTACCTAAAAACATTGACTAAAATGCTTAATTTGACCAAAAATGAAAAAAAAACAATCACTGTAAATCGAACAGTATGCACAACAAATGACTTGCCTTTTCAAATGCTCAGATCAATATGAATGTGCAACCGGCATCAGTTTGACACATCAAGCTGAATTTGACAACTCTCTTCAACGCGCTAATTTTCGTGGCGAAATTCGGATTTGACTGGTGTCGATGCAGAGACTCATGCGAAATATAATCTCATAACGGAACCAAAATAAACAAATACAACACCAAGCCACAGTAGCGAATGAGTCTGTTGTGTTGTGTTGCGTTGTGTGAAATGGAAGAGATGTGTCGGTTCTGCTCTTTCTTTCTAATTCAGTGAATTAAATTCACGCGCCCAAAACGAAATCAATACACAAATCGAATTCTTGTAAGATGTTTATTCAGTTCGTTCGGCACAGAGTTGTTTGGAATGGTTGTCATTTCAAATGTTTGAATTCAAAATTAACACTGAAATTTCAGTCGATTTTGACGGAAAAAAAGACTAAAAACGTTACATCTTTTAACGTTAAAAATGACTAAATTGCGTTACATAAATTATTTTTCACTATTTCATAAAATATCAAATGTTTACGTAATTTAAGGATTTGTATACAGGCTATGCAACCATCAGTGCCGCAAACATTATGTTACATATACATGAATGATGAATTTTTCATCGAAAATATAGTGTTCACCGATTCGACTGTGCTGATGCACAGAGTTGATAAAATTGAGAATTAAAAGTTAAACGCCTACCTTTTATTTTTCATGTACTGTGGCAAACAACAAAACTCAATTCAGATAATAGTTCTGTTGGAAACCTGCTCCAGGCAACGATAGATTTAACGGCATGGATTTATATACAATGATATGAACTTGAAATGTGGCCAAATACAAACAAAATTAAAATTTCATACATATACATCACGGAGGACGGTAGTCCGACAAGTGACGCATCATAGACTGTGCATTTCAAGCCAAATATCAAAAATGCCAGTTTTTGCGTCACGAGTATATATACAGTAAATATGCTATTTTCTCAGGATACTATTTGGGCCCCGGCGTGTTAAGTACGGTTGGAAAGGTCTTGGCCCAAATAGTCGGAAACACCATATCTCCCATGCATAAAGTGTGGTCTAGGCAAAAATATAGCGGTTGGAAAATTTCGATAAATTTTCAAATCTATACCCATATCTTACGAAGGGGGTACCCAGAGGGTGGTCTGAGGTGTCCAAGAGAAGCTCCTCCTCGCCACCTTTCCAACGCCGGTCCAAGCGCTCCGATTGGTCCAAAAACGAAAAAGTTATGGGCATTGGCAGTTTGATCTTGATTTTTTATGAAAGTATTGATTTGTGCGTCCGTCCGTCCGTCCGTCCGTCCGTCTGTCCGCACCTTCTTCGGTTTCCGATGCGCATATGCCTTAGTTGTAGCTAGTGTCGGGGCACGTTGAAATCCGTCCTCAGATTGACATTTGCATTACAGGAGAGCTGGCTATGGCTTCGCTAGCCTGCATGTATACGATTTTTTCAAGTATTTATTTCGCACACTAGATCAACTCAGACACAGGGATCGAAACCAAACCAAACCGAATATTTGGTTTGAGTGTGTGAACAAACCAAACCATTCGGAACGTTCTGTAAAATGGTTTGTATGGCACACAGAAACGTTTATGCTTACGTGTATTAGTAAACGACACTAACACAGTGACAACCCGCTTGAACGTTGCCCATACAAACCATTCTCAGAACGTTCCGCTTGATACGGTTCGCTCCGATGAACAGAGAGCAAAGCAGTGAAACCGTTCCGAAATCGGTTTGTATGAGAAACGTCAAACCGTTTTCGATCCCTGCTCAGACACCCATCGGGCAAACTCAGCTCGTTATCATTTGAGAAGACCTTCAAAAAGTTCCATACACACATGCCAATGTTTATGTGATATAAAAGAAAAAAGTCGATTTTTATGAAAAATCGACCCCCTTAAATTTCACACCAAACGCGATTTCTCAAAAATCAGCCCTACAATGTTTTACCAAAAACTGAGCGTTTGTGGCCGGCTACCATATAAAACAAAATGGCATATGCCACATATCTGGGAAAATTCGTATTTCGAAGTTCTGGGCATAGGCAATTCATCAATGAACGGAATTTGTACGAAGAGTCGCATTCTACGATGAAATTGCTGCCAAAAATACGCATCCACTGGCTGGAAAAGGCTCACGAAAGACCATATCCGCTCAATTTTCGACGAGCAATCGATTAAAAGTGGTCACAATGCGATCTGAGGGCATTTCATGGTCGAAAAATAGGTCGGATTGAAGTGAATTTTTCAACTTGCTCTATTTTCACTGAAAATGATGTTTTTCTTTCGGAAAACACGTGAAATAGACCTCTGACGACATTTTGGTCTTAGAAAACTGCTATTTTTTCGTGAAAATAATGGGAGTCCTCGAACACTTGAATATCCATTTCGTTGTCATTTTGGTCATAAAACGGCATTTTGGCATCTGAATGTACGAAATTGAACTTTTGCTCGGGGGATACATAAAAAATGCACTTTCCAGAGCTTTGGTGGTTGGGAACTAATATGTTTCAATGAAGTAATGGGTCTTAAATTACTTCAAAACTCTTTTAATGGATATTTTGAAATTTAATCACATTTTACTATGTCTAATAAGGGGAAAATGGGACTTTTTTAATGAAAGTGGAAATTTGCTATTCACAAAACTTGTGAAATGTGGATGCAAATGTTTTACCCGAAAAATTACAATTTCCCAATGATAAGACCTTAAAATAGACATATTTCTGGCAAAAGTGTGTTTTTTCCGAGAATAATTGCCTTACAAAATTAGTGATATCAGATGAAAAACCTCTAGGCGAGGTTAAAATGGAGTGACGCTCCTGTGCGTGGATTTACCACTCAAAATGACTGATATCATTTTGAGTGACGCTTTGACGCTGTATTATAACTGGGAACGAAGTTCAAAAGTGTTTTTCGCATTCACTACTGTCAAAATTTATTTACAATAAAGAACAATATCGCGTCACGACTTTTGGATGGCAAAACGCTTTAAAGCTTGACTTGAAGACTAAATTCAAAAGTCGTGGCGCGATATTGTTCCTTATTGTAAATAAATTTTCACAATAGTGAATGCGAAAAACACTTTTGAACTTCGTACCCAGAGATAATACAGCGTCAAAGCGTCACTCAAAATGATATCAGTCATTTTGAGTGCTAAATCCACGCACAGGAGCGTCACTCCATTTTAACCTCGCCTAGAGGTTTTTCATCTGATAGTATTTACAATGCATATCGAGGGGGAAATCACTCTTCAAATTACTTTTCAATTACTTTTCAAAACTATCAAATTAATTTTTCCATTACTTTTTGGCACGCTATTACTTTAGTAAATTACGAAAGTAATTAGACGTTTATGTCAAAGTTTGACAGTGTCAAACCAACAAACAAACGTTCTAAACAAACCACTACACTCATATCGAAAAATGGAATTTGAAATGGAAAATAATTTCTGGTTCGTTCTTGAAAACGACATTGGTTTTGAAATGCGAAACTTATAAAATTGAGCTTGAAGTAAGTTTTAGCTGAGTATTTCTAATAAGGTATAAAATTCTATACAAATTTCATTGTAGTCATATCCTCGGTCATATCGCATTTGGGAAAAAAAAAACGCAATCGAGCCCACACCAAACTATCTTTTTTCATCTTCATTTTTATTTTATAAACGATTATTTTTTTATTTTTTACGATAATGTATCCAAGAATACTTCGGGTTTGTGGTTTATGCCGATTGATGACATCTACCTCAATTACTTTTTTTCGGGAAAAATTACTTTTCTATTATCATAATTACTTGTGACATTTCAATTACTTTCAAGTGATTTTCCCCTCGATGCATATACATAGAAATGAATATTTAATTTCCGAACCAGTTATTAGGCTCTGAAGTTTTGAGCACTACATACGTGAAACGTAATGACACAATTTATTCCCAATTTAAGTAAAAACATTGTTCTGTTACAATTTGAACTGTTGAAGGATGTTCACACTCGATCCGTATCCTACGAAATGTGAAGTACTGATGGTGTATATAGTTCAGTAGAGACTATTGAGTGATTAAATATATTGAATTACTAATAAATTGAATGTTTTTCTCCCTATTCTTGCTAACGAAAAACAACAGAGACTATCGTAGTATTTCCGAATTTTTCACGCGTCAACTTCGGCCGGGTGTTCGTACAATATCAAGTAAATCCTGTATGGTATCACCGGTTGATGGCCGAGTGCTACACTTTGGATTAGCCGATGGACATCAAATTGAACAAGTAAGTACACCTAAGAGCGTATTAGAATGCAAGTGTTTAAATTTTCGTCGATTCATTAGGTGAAAGGTATGAACTACAGCTTAAAAGAATTTCTTGGTCCATCAAACTATGAAAAAACGGAGAAGTCGGCCACAATCAATTTCAAGCATAAAAGAGATGAGGTAAATTGAACAAATTGATTCCATTACCCACTGTATATCTCCATCAATTGTCATTATAAATGCATATATATATTACATAATTTGATATGTTTAAATTATTGCGATTTGTTACGTCAATTTTTTAGGAAACAAATTTGTATCAGTGCGTGATTTACCTTGCTCCAGGCGATTATCACAGGTTTCATTCACCGACGGAATGGAAACCAGTAATTAGAAGACACTTTCACGGAGAACTTTTATCTGTAAATCCAAACATTGCTAAATGGTTACCTGGACTATTTTGTCTGAATGAGCGAGTTGTGTACATAGGTCAATGGGATCATGGATTTTGCAGCTTCACTGCAGTTGGTAAGTTATACATAACGATAAATAGAAATCAGACTAAATTCTCATTTATTTTCATAGGAGCAACAAATGTGGGTTCCGTTGACGTTTATATTGACAAGGATCTAAAAACAAATAAATGGGTCGGTTTCCGCAGAAAAAGCAACCAAGCAAACCAATATGATGAAATTCAATTGCCAGCTAATACAATTTTGCAGAAAGGTGAGATATTGGGCCAATTTAATATGGGCAGCACCGTGGTGCTAATTTTCGAAGCTCCAAAGAAGTTTAGGTGAGTTTGTAAACCAATAGATGTCATACCTATATATATCTAAGTGTCCAAATTGCAATACAACAACGGAATTTTTTATTCTTTACAGGTTTTTCATCTCGAACGGTCAAAAGGTTAGACTAGGTGAACCACTTGGGTGCATTAATGATTTAGATGAATCAAAAATGGACGAAACAACAAAATGAAATTGATATGCTCATAAATTCAGTCAATCATTTGTAATTTATAAATAGTAATATGATATTATTTTTATTTAAGCATGCAGGAAACTTTTTCTAAAGTACTATTTACTATGGATTTGATAAATAAATATTATATCAAAAAAATGTCCTTCTTTCACTCTTTGCAAGCATCAATGGCGAAATGCTTTTTATTGGATGAGGTAAAATAAACGAAACGTATAAAGATGTATTCAAATTGAGCAGGCATCTATTGCCGGTCTGATATCTGCATGGTTGGATTCTATTTGGAGCGTTAAGTATATTTGACATTATTCAAATGTCAAAATTAAGAAATTAACTGTCAAGGCAAGAGTCGTCAATAACATGTGTCGATGGAATTGTTTCAAATCAAATTGAACTTGATTTTATGAATTTTTTTTTCTTAATAAATACAATCGAAGATCGGGACAATGGTGGAAGCATTTGAAGAGGTAGGAATAGTTTCAGAAATTTTAGAAATTTCAGTGACACAATATTATTCCATAAATGTTTATAGCTCAAAATAAGTGAATGTTTGAGTTCACACGATGAGGAAAATCCTATCAAATCGGTAGCTACGGTTAAACACCAAATCGTAAGATCTCCAGGGAATTTTTCGAAACTAAAATGTAACACAGGTAAAAAAAGAATAAGATATCAGTTTGCGTTTGCGAGATATGGATAAACCAATAAATGTGTTAACGGGAATTGATTATTGTCTTATTTTAACACAGACTTGAATATTCCGCCATCGAATTGGCTGAGTAGTTCTTTTAATTCTTACGGTCTACAACAAGCGTTATCACAAGCAACTGGCTTTTCAAGGTATTTTATCGTAAATTTGGTTATTTGTATTTTGTTTTTTTGTAACCAAGGGCGACGATAATTTCCAGAATTATAATGAAAAATCGCTTAAAATTCTTTTGTCATTTCTTCAATAATAATACCGTTGTGATCATTGTAGCTTTCGCATGGCGCATTTGTTCTCAGATTGTCTGGGCGAAGTTGACGTTGTTTCAAACGCAGAAAATATCAAACGGTTGCTAAAGCTACCATATGCTTCGAACTGTTCCATAAGTATGATGGTTCATAGAATCGGAAGCACCCTTCTCATTGATGATTTCGACATACATAGATTTCTATTGCAGCAAGAGGATTGCAATTGGAAATGGCTCAAATCTTTTATTTGCGAGCATTTTACGCGTTTAAATGAACAAGAGCGAAATGTGCCAAATAAACAATCTACAAGAAATGATTCAATGCACCAAAGAAGCCTTTTGTCGAAATTTCTGTATCACTCGATTTCTTCAACTACAACAGCAACCATATCAGATTCGAAGGACACGGTGAATGTGGACTTTGAACCGAAATATCTGCAAGAAGGACCTCTGTTGCCAGAGCCCAACGTAGAAGATGTGCCCGATCCAAAGCACACCAAACACACATATAACCGGAACGTAATATGGCAACTTAATAATACGAAAATGCTAATTGGAACAGATCTACCAATATTCGGAGGAGTCGGAGGCATCAGTTTGCGTTTGCGAGATATGGATAAACCAATAAATGTGTTAACGGGAATTGATTATTGGCTAGACAATCTAATGTGTAATGTGCCTGAAATCGGGATGTGTTATCACTTGAATGGATTTGTCCAAAAATATGAAATAATCAAAACGGAGGACCTGCCATTTCTAGAAAATTCGCAATTCTCACCGAACGTAATTCGAAATGTTGCTCAAAATATTTTGTCATTTCTAAAACAAAATGCTACGAAATCCGGTCATACCTACTGGTAAGTTTTACGCCAGTTATTTATTATTACACAACACGCATACAAAGTTCTGTTTACTGTTTCAATAGCAGAACAAGAAAGTCTTTGGAAGAATACATCGAAATAAGATAAAATTCTCGTTTTTCAGGCTGTTTAAGGGGCACAAAGATGACGTGGTGAAATTATACGATCTAACGAGTGAGTTCGAAACATCAAGCCAATTCGACGAAAGTGATCACCAGTCGAAAAAAGAAGATCCCGATAAGAAAACGTTTGAAAAAGACGATAAAAATCCATTTACCATACCAGTTGCAATGCTTTTGTATAAAGTTGCTAAAAATATGAAAAATTCAACGGATCGAATTGAGGCGAAGCGAGCGGGTTCAATAAAGGCATTACTTGAGAATTGCCTAAAACTTCTTCCAAAAGAACAATATCCACAAATTGTCACCTCATCGTATTACTTACTGTCCGGTAAACATTTTATCAAATTGTTAACCAAAAATTTTACCCTGCTGTGAGTACCCTTTTTTGTATTTTTGTTTCTCACTTGCTCAGATCTGTATGTTCCGACCGGCATTGATCCCATTTCACCGAATTTCAACAATGAAATTGAAGATTCCGAAACTGATGTGTGCGACTCAGATGATTCAGGTAGTAATAGTGTTGAAGATGAACAGCAAGTGCATGGTGGTGTTGGTGAAAATATCGCAATTCAAAGCATAGTTGATGCAACAAAAGAAACGCAGAAGAATGAGAACAACTTTCATCCGCCTCCTTTGACTGGCGATATCGAGGAGAGATGCTCTAATGCGCTTCAATACATTTTTAAGGGATTGAATTGTTTGCAATATTTTCTGATAAACGAGGAAAAGCTTAGCAAGGAAAAAGAGGAAATAAAAAAGCAAGCTGAAAAAATACGCATCATCCAAGAAGAATTGAATCCAAATATGGCTAAACGTTATCAGGCCATTCCACTGCCATACGAAGAAATTAAAAATGACAAAATCAATAAAACAAGCGACACTAAATGTGATCAACAAATGTTATTGGAAAAGTGCCAAACATCAACATCATCATCATCGTCGTCGTCATCGTCGGTAGTGATTGGGTCTTGGAACACTCATTTAAAACTATTGCTTATAGAAAAGTCCTGTTTAGTTTATGCAACATTAACGGAGCAAGAATACCAGCATGGTAAATATGGAAGTGCTTTAAAGTTCATTTCGATTGCGATGAAATGTTACAAGATCGTATCAAAGCAGGTGTCTAATTTTCTATCCATTGGATCGAATTATCAAACAAATCTTTTGGCTCGGGCAGGTATGAAACCCAATTGTTTTCAAGAAGAAACCTCAGTAAAACCATTTTGTTCTATTTTCCCTTGCAGGAGATTGTTATTTTCAATGTGTCCAGAATTTTACCAGTATTGAAGAGTACATTAGTCAATTCCAATCGTTACGTGACATTGACTTAGCAATAAAAGATGAATTGCATAAAGATTTAGTCCAATTAGACATGGAAATGGACATTGAGAGCCCAACGAACAATTTGGAAAAAAGCATTTCTTGCTATGAGATAGCTCTTCAATGTGCTGATGGGAAAGGATCTCGCAATGAATTACTCAGTCGTATTGGAAGCGTGTTGAATGAATTGGCTGTGAGGTACATGGGGTGGTCACAAGCGGAGTTTGAAAAACGTTCCTCCGAAGCTTCCGTACAGAATTCAGCGTCATTATCTACCAAAGATGGAGAATTTGATGATAATGCAGAGCTGTCGGAAAAACCAGAACCGTTGTATATGAGTCTTGCCAGAAAATCGTATGAAAATTTTATTCGTGGCATATCCATCTTTGAAGAAGTAAATGATAATTCAAATTTGGCGATTTTACTGTGTAATTTGGGGCGTTTTATGCGTTTTCGAGCACATCTTCAAGACGATAAAGAATTTTGTTTCAAGAAAATCTGCTATGAAAATGCATTCACGTCGTATCAGCGGGCATTGACGATTCTGGAATCGAAAAAACAAAATTCACAACTATGGGATCTCGTTTCATGGGAGTTATCATCTGGAAAATTTACACTTGCTAAACTTATACAACAGCACTTCCAAAATGAAATGGTAAGTGGCAAAACAAAAAGATGAAAAATCAATTTGTAACCTTGCTTCTTTCATCCTACTCTTCAGAATGATAAAATCGAACAGGAACTAATCGATTTATTAATGGGATCATTAAAATTATGCGATACGCAAACGCGCAGTGCTCGAAAGATTATGTACACCGTTCGATCTGGATTGATTTATCAATGCTTAGGAAACATTTATATCGATTCCTATAAGAAAAAAGGCTGCAGCAATGCTCGCCGGAAGAAATTACTAAATTTATGCCGACTATATTACGGGAAAAGTATAAATGTGTTTAAACAACTCGATGGCATCGATAATTATTTGGGTGTCCAAATTGATCGTTTAGAATTACAAAACACTCTATTCGAAGGTATAATAAATTAATCAATTTTTATTGGGTCGAAAAATGTTTTCAACGATTTGATTCTATTTTCAGGTCATCATGCGGCTGCTCAAAAATGCAAAACACTGCATACAGCCCTGGAAATCGCATGTGAATCAATTGAACAATTCAAAAAAACTCATGAATCTGATGATAATCAATATGATCATGTCAATCTTTTAAAACAATTTGAATTACTTCTACAAACCACACTGAAGCACTTGATTCAAATTTCTATCACAAAAAACTCTGACAACCCGGAGATAACAACATTGAAACAACTATATAGTTTTACATTACAATCAAACATAAATAGGAATGATTTTATGTTGTTTTCAAAATATTTATTGAAAACATTGGAAACTATAAAAGAAGCTCTGTTTTGAGAGAAAAAAATGTGCAAAAAATGAATAAATAAATACGCAAATTTTCATTTTACAAGACAGTTTTTCATTAACCTATTTGAGATTTTTTTGCGTAAGACATTTAACCAGACATTCCAGAGAGTGATAATGTATATGAATGTATATGTGTACGATGTACGTTTGACACGCACACGCACACACGAATGTATTCTGTATACCAACCGTGATCACAGAAGAGAGACGCTACTTTAGTACTTAGTGAGCTCTTTCCATGAAAACATGGAGTCGCCCGCGTATAGGAATTTAATGAGAAAATATTGGAATAACAGTGAGGATTGGAACACAGTGTTATAAATATCAAAATAATTGAGAGAGAAAAAAATGAGAAAATGTGCATTCACCTGTTTTTTTGTGTATTGTGAATTTAAAAATCATTTATGTAAAAACACATGAATTTTATTTTGGAACAATAAAGTGTTCCATGTTCGTATAAATAAACTGTTGAATGGAATACACAAATAGGTTAACAATTTGATAGAATTTATGAACGACTTAATCACTTTCTACACAAAAGTAATAAATCAGTAATAAATCATTTATTTGCGAATTATTTGATTGTCATGTTGAATTCGTGATACGATCTATTTAGATCGAATACATCAGCGTATAGTGAAAAACAGAGAAAATATTCAAAGGGAAGTGTTGTTGTTTTTTTTTGGCTGACCAGTTTTCCTAAAACCGTTCAAAACTGGATTTGGGATATTACGAAAGTGTGAGAACCGGTAAGTTTTTCTTACACTATTCATTGCGAATATGAGTAATCGTGAGTGGTCAATGTAATAAGAATTCAATGAATAACCCATTAGTTGATTGGAATTGAATAGTAATAAAGATTCACACCAATTTTATAATAACTGGATTATTGATATTTGGGACAATTTGTTTTCGTAAACTATGTCGAAAAAAATTCAGTTTCAAGATATGCTTAGATATTTATGCAACGTGGTATGGTTTTGAACCATTGATTCTAAGAGTGCGCCAACAGTACAGGTTTGCTGTTCAATGTGTGTGCACTGTACAGGTATTCTTTTAATTCCCTTTCTTCCCGTGATTCGTCATTTGCCTCTTCATAACACCATAGTATATGTTTCGTTTATCGGTATTTGTTCAGCGATACGTTGGTGTTTGTGTTTGTGTTTGAGATAATACGATGGCATTTACAACATTTATTAATAACTTATTGATCTTAAGTTTTCTACCTTTTGCTGCGAGTATCTCTCTTCTTCAAATCTATACCATACAAGTTCGTAGTAAACAAATAAGAAAAATTTTCTTCGTTGAAATACTCAAAATTCAATTTTTCTGCCTTGATTCTGATAGAATTCCAATTCGCAAATTGATGTATTTTCTACATTCATTCACAGTGCACATACCAATATATCTATATGAATATAAATATGAATACAAATACAGAGAAATCTCCAGAAAATGAGAAGTCTATTGTTTGCATGATGATGAAAGAACAGAAATGGCTGAATCAACGAAAAAAAAACTGTGTAGAAAATTAATACCAGAAACATAGCAAAATAGGGCTTCTTTCACACTACTAATCAAGAGGCATTCACTTCGATTCAGGTTTGCCACATTTTTCGTTTATCATTTGGTTTCTTCAAATCAAACCCCAGTTTCAACACGATTCATTTTATAAAATGAATGAGTATTGGATATATTTGAATGAAAGATCTCTGGAAATCATTCTAAAGTAGATTTATATGCGCCCGAAAATAATGTAATGTTGAAACTACTGTGATCTCCGGGTATTTATAGAAACGTTGCATTTTTCCATTGTGTATCAACACGACATACACAAATATTTTTGTCTGCAAAGAAACGTAAATTTCCAGAGTGAAATCCTAAAAGAATTTTCTATTCATCCGTAATCGTAAATCCCTGTGCTTCAGATATATATATATATAACAGATATTTGAATGAACACATGTTCTCAAAAAAGTGTATATGTAACGCAGGGATGTTCATTCATTCCAGACATCTGTAGCTTGGTGAACACGTAACGTTACACGTTATCCTGCACATATTTTACGTTAAGATTTCCATGTCAAAGAAATGACTAAATTTAGCTCAGATTTATCACTTATATGTGTCGATCTTTGTTTGTTTTTTTCTCTTCACAACACGTGCATGATTTTCAAGCGAAAGTTAGTTAAAATGAGACTCAAATGCTCACAAGAGAAATTGCATGTCGGTTCGAATATTGGTGAGACGTAGAACCAAGCATTGTTTATGAAAATAGAAAGTATATTTTCGCCGTTTTCTCATCACTGCTAATTTATATTCAGTCTGCAGAAAAGTTGTCAAACTCGACTTGGTTTAAGTTATAGAATAGATCGAGTTTGACATTTTTGACGAAGATACCAACATGTTGATCCAAAAACTGAGGTATTTCATATTTCTTTACCACTATCTTTGCTTGGAATAGGAATCTAGAAAATCCAGCTGAATTTTATTTTATGATAACCAAATCAAATCTATACCTATATATCTATATCTAAAGAAAAGATGAAGTATTGTTTTTGTAAGATAGCATGGGAATGACGTTTTCAAGATAAGAAAATTGTTCACTTCGCCAACTTTTTTCAAGTACATCATAGGTTGATATCCAAATTCAATTTAATCACATTTTTGCAAGTAAATTTCCGTTCAAAAGAGAATATATTCGAGCGATAATAAAACTTATCTAAAAATCTAATTGTAATTTTCAATGAATAAATAACGGAAAGTTTGACATATTTGAGCTCAAGGCCACTAACTATTGTTTGCTTTAGTACAAGTACTTCATTGAAATTAGTGCAAAATGTACAAATTTAAGGCGTATCATGTATATAAAGATTATCTTTTTCATAATTTTTTTCATTTGATATAGCAACATAACAGATAAAGAAAGAATGCCAATGGCGTCCGGTTTATATTATTTCAATTTTAATTTCTCAAAATGCTATCGCCGAAATTCATGCTTAACTCGAATACTACCCTATTCTATTTATTTTTCTGGGAACAATATAACTGAAAACGTTTACAAAGAAGAATATTTTTTCACTCCAAAAACTGAAATATAGCTCAAATCGTTAGTTAACTGAATGTGGCAAAAAGTTGGTATAACATTTGGCAAAATGATTTATCCCTTAAAATTATCTTCAAGTATATATCTTGTTTGCTATGTGTTTTTCTGCGAACAGTTGAGGTTTTTATTTCAATGTAATAAAGCAGTAAGATAACGCACAAGTGTTATGTGAAAAGTAAACCTTTGGAGCATGAGATCATAGTTTTGAATTGTTTTTTTTCATGGAATTTCAATGAAATTTACCGCTTCATACAGACTTCGCCATAGTAGATTCCAGAAAACAGAAATGATTATATAGTTACATAGGTTCAAGTTGGAAAATCTCCAACATTGACCAAAGAATCTGCTAAACGATTATAACGATGAGAATATTTTTTGTTGATTTAAAAAATCGAATTGTTGACTTCATAAGTAAATTCTATACTCACTTGAAATATCGTAAAACGATGAGAGATTTTTTTTCGGAGAAAAATGAATGAATTTCATGATTAATAATGGAATCTATCGGTAATACGTAATTATGGCACATTACTTAGTATATTTTTCTAACGCCCAATGGATAAACATCGACAAGTTCTGTTAGTAAAACCAATATTTGAGAAAATTTGATTTTTTTTACAAGTTATTTGTGAGCTCTACATTTTTTTCTTCAAAAGTCATATGTATGTCAGTTGATTCATTTTTTCCAAACACTTCAATTTATTGAATTAGGTAAGATAATGCCCATTATTTGTTGTCGTTCCAAAGATAGCAGTTAATAATAAATCTGGTGTCATACTACAATAAAACTGAATATGACATCATCATCGCTACCGAAAGAACAATCGAAAAAATAATATGAGTAAAATATTCGCGCTCTCTTCTTCCACATAAATACAAGTGTTCTTCTGTATTTGGACGGTATTGTTTGTGTATAGAAAAGAAATCCAGCGAACCAAAACTTTGCAGCTCACTCAAACTATGACCGCATTTCAATGTTTACATATGATAAATTCAAAGTAAACACTTTTTATTCCACACGTTCGTATTCGGATATAATACCGTTCGTGTGTTCATCATTGTATGATACATTGGACAGTGTTTTCAGTTGCGTATATACGTGAGTGCATTGGAATTTGCGACAATTACGTCATCGGCGTGTCCCGTATTGGTTGAGTGGCCAACAAATACCACTTAGAACATGAATTTTCCACAATATATTCCAGTAGAATGATTTTATGCATAACAATTTATGGATCACTTTTGAATACATGTTTAAGATCTATATTAAATATTGAATTATTCAAACGCGTATTTTTAGAATGTCGATATAAAGAAAATATCAACCTGAAAATACTCAATTTAAAAACACAAGATGTTTGAAAATTTAACATAATTAATACGCCATCGGAATTATAGAACTAAAGTGAAATGTACGACACGATTGTACAATTGTACATAGTATAGAAGCCTCACTATGTCAAAAGCCTATGAGTGAAGCACCACATGAACAGAGTAATGAACTTAAGAGTAAGTGTGCTTCAATAAGAAAACAAGAATATGGCAAATAAAAAAAGCAAGCAATGCGAATAATCGCAAAGTGTATGTAGTATGTATTAGTAAAATACACACGGATTACTGGTTTCTTTGAATTTAAATGCATCATGAAGCTATGATATATTTTTGTGGCTAATGGCTTATCCGTTATATTTTGTCCAGCAAACTATTCTTTATTTAAGTCTAGGCGATGTCCACTCGATAACGGGTTAAACATCTTTAGAGGCTTGAAATGGTTCTAATCTAAAATATGCCGCGTATTTTGTCGTAACTTGAATATTTTTGATTTTTTTCCACAGGATCTCAATATGAGCCCGGCGGGTTCTCATCTAGAAACATGCAGCAGAACAACGGAAATATGACACAACGCGAAGGAATTCATAAATTCGAGAATGAACGAATAAAGACTCTTCAAGAGGAACGTCTGCACATCCAAAAAAAGACCTTTACAAAATGGATGAACTCATTCTTGGCCAAGGTAATTTTAATTTAAAATTCATGAATTTGTAAATTAAAAATTGAGATTTCCTTTAAAAAAAATATGTTTAACCGTTTGTGTGTAATGTGGGGTCTATATGACCCCAGATACTCTAAATTCGCTATAACTTTTTAACTTCAAGTTGTATGATGTTGTAATTTATTGACATCTTCAATCTAGTTAAAACACGCATTTTGAGCACTTATTTGTCAAAATCGGTCTATAAAAACCCGAGATATTCTGACTTGAAGAGAAGACTTACAAATGCTGTAAGATGGGGTCATATGGACCCCAAATTAAAGTGCCCATATTATTGCTAAAATCTTATTTTATCTCATTAAATCAAGAATATTTTTAAAATTTGAAGTTTTATCTTCATGTTGAGCCATATTTTGTTCAGATACGACAAGTAGTTTCATTGTTTTGATCACTTCCAAATGACACCCAAATTGATGAAATTCCAGTTTTTATCGAATTATTACATCTTATTGGTCCATATTTTTCCATGTATAGCTCACATCAACTCGATATTATACTTATTTTATTCCTTTTGATACGCCCTTTCAAAAAACAAACTTTCTTTTCACAAATATTCATAGATTTTTTGAAAATGAACCAAAATAACGTAAAAAATGTGCCATTCAAGATAGCGGACTAGTACGATGTTTTTAAAATCATCATATCTAAGTAATTTTTGGGTCGATATTGACAAAAATAGGCTTAAAAGATGAAGAATGCCTTAAATTATTGGATCAAAACGATATTTTTGAGAAAAAAATTATTTTTGTTCCATTTTTATCGATTTTTTGTTGGGGTCCATATGACCCAACATTACAGCATTTGTAGCTTTCGACTTATTACAGACAAACGGTTAAAGATATGAACATATATAAAAACAAAACAAAAGAAATGCGAAATAAGTTGACAAACCCAATAAAAGAAAGTACAATTTGGCGTTCAGACTACCGACGATCATTCATCATATTTTATATTTCAAAAGCAGTTAGAACAAATCATGATAATTCAAATTGAAGGACCATGGCTCTTTTTTATGAATCACCATGAGAGCACTTTTTTCTTCAATCTTTTCATTCAATACTTTCATATTTCTTTTCATTCTTTTCGTGGAGTATTAGAAGAAAACAAATATTTTAAAATAACATTAACTCTGCTGTGTTGTTAGGGTCTTTCAAGACCCATTTTCATTTTCAAACTTCATTTTTTCTATGAAGATATTATTATATTTTACTAGGCTAAAATGGAAGTGGATGATTTGTTCATTGACTTAGCCGATGGAATAAAACTTTTGAAGTTGCTTGAAATAATTTCTGGCGAGAAACTGGGCAAGCCAAACAATGGACGAATGCGTGTGCATAAGATAGAAAATGTCAACAAAAGTTTGGCATTTTTACACACGAAGGTTCGACTGGAATCAATTGGAGCTGAAGATATTGTTGATGGAAACCCCCGCTTAATATTAGGCTTGATATGGACGATAATATTGCGATTCCAAATTCAAGAAATTGAAATTGATGTGGTGTGTATTATGTTCATTGTTCAGTTTTCCTGTATTGTTGTTTATCGCTTAAACCCTTTCAAAATATCAACATTCCAATAGGATGAGGATAATGAGTCTTCAGAGAAACGTTCAGCAAAAGACGCTTTACTTCTTTGGTGTCAAAGAAAGACATACGGCTATCAAGGAGTTTCTATTCATGTAAGTAACAGAACATCATTTTACATAAAAAAAAGTGTTTAATGTATCGATACATGATATCATGCTTATTTTTCATGCCATTTCCAATGTGCACTTGTAGGATTTCACAGCATCGTGGCGCTCTGGTTTAGGTTTCAATGCCCTTATTCATTCGCATCGTCCCGATTTATTCGACTATTCCAAATTGGTCCCAGGCAGGAATATTGACAATTTGAATCATGCCTTCAATGTAGCAAATGATGAACTTGGAATAAATCGGTTAGTATCCGAAATGTTAATATAGATGAAAATGCAAGTTAATGATAATAAAGTGGAAGCTTTGATTGCATGGAAATAGCCAATATTAAATGAAAATAAAAAGAATTACATTGGTAATCCCGAACTTTTCCGTACCGTTGGCCTGCGTTGTCTGTAGGTACTTTTGGTTATTTTTTGTGAATTTTCTTGAAATAAAGGCAGTGAAAATATAATAGAGAAAATAAATTGAAAAATCGGTCACTTTAACTAAAACTTCGACAATTTTGTATGAGAGGTACCCGTAAACCGATTCCTATTGGCTTCAAACTTTTTGAAGTTTCATTTTTTGAAGAAAAAATAAGATTCTGAAAGTTTCATGTTGATCGGATTTGCAGAAGTTTGGTTTTTGGCCCTCAATTTTTTCCAAGAAAATTTCGACAAAAATTGAGGGCCAAAAATCAAACTTCTGCAGATGCGATCAACATGAAACTTTCAGAATCTTATTTTTTCCCCGAAAAATGAAATCTCAGAAAGTTTGAAGCCAATCAGAATCGATTAAAGGGTACCTCCCATACAAAATTGTCCAAAAATCGGTAATTTTAGTCAAAATTTCCAAAAATTTGTATGGGAGGTACCCGTAAATCGATTCCGATTGATTTCAAACTTTCAGAATCTTATTTTTCTCCCAAAAAAATGAAATCCCAGAAAATTTGAAGCCAATCAGAATCGATTAACGGGTACCTCCCATACAAAAGTGTCAATTTTTTGAGGTTTTTCTTAGGGCAAGTACCCCAGGATCGAATTGAAAATGGCCCATCTTCGAACTTAAACTAAGTTTTTTGGATACAAAACTTGTGGGACTTTCAGATTTGGATTATCTCAATTATTTTTTGAGTTATCGTGTTAACAAACACCAACGACAACGACGACAACGACAACGACGACGGCACACAAACGGAAAAGTGTCTCAAAAAGTGGTTTTCTACGCGTTTCATGAGTTTTTATGATGATCTAAGCTAATTTTGCGAAAAAAGTTTTCGGGACCAATTCCTATACTTTCCCTTGACATGTTGTGTACGGAAAAGTAATAAAGAAAAAATAAATATATTTATTTGTTTTTAGTTTGCTTGATGCTGAAGATGTTGATACTGCTCGGCCAGATGAAAAATCCATATTGACTTATGTCGCTTCGTACTACCACACGTTTGCACGCATGAAAAATGAGCAAAAGAGTGGAAAAAGAATTGCAAACGTGAGTTTTTTTCGAGGTCACATTCGTTTGCTAAATGCTGAATACGTAATCAACTAAATATTAATTTTCAAATAGATTGTTGGAAAATTAATGGATGCAGATCGGCGAAAGGCTCTTTATGAACGCTTAACTACTAATTTATTGAGTTGGATTCGGCAAACAACGACCGAACTTGAAAAAAGAAATTTCCCAAATTCCTTAGAGGGTATCCAAAAGCAGTTATTATCATTCAAGCAATACCGCACAATTGAAAAGCCACCAAAGTAAATACCACTATTTAGTGTTTATAAATAACGAAATAGATGTTAATTTTCAATTAAATATCCCAGATACAAAGAACGTAGCGAAATTGAAGCCTTATACTTTACAATAAACACGCTGCTAAAAACGCTACATCAACCTCATTACACGCCACAAGATGGGCAGCTGATTAATGATATAGAGAAAGCGTGGCAAAGATTGGAAAATGCTGAGCATCATCGTGAAGTCGCACTGCGCGAAGAACTACTTCGGCAAGAGAAATTGGAACAACTGAACTATAAATTTGAAAAGAAGTCTATACTCAGAGAGGGATATCTTAAAGAAATGATTCAAGTTCTTAGTGACCCCCGATACGGTGCTAGCTTTGCTCAGGTCGATGCAACTGTTAAAAAACATGAAGCAATATCAGCTGATATCTTGGCTCGAGTTGAGCGCTTTAATGATTTGACAGCGATGGCCGAAGAGCTCGAGAAAGAAAACTATCATGGCAAAGAGCGAGTTAAAAAACGTGAATCTGAGGTGCTGGAAAAATGGCGAAAATTACTGGAACTTCTTGAAAATCACAAAAATAACCTAGGTCAAATGAGCAGTCTTATGAGTTTGTTACGAGAAATCGATGCAACTCTGATAAGCATGCACGAACTAAAGGTACACACATTTAAGACACTCATAGCTATTAATTTCTTTCAATTGGATGAATTTGTTTTTATTCCTTTCAAATTGATAAATGTATGAAACAAAATCAGACCCAATTTGCATCCGAAGATGTTGGACCTCACTCATTAGGAGTTGAAGAATTTTTACAAGCACATTCTTTACAAGAATTGCAAGTACATTCTCTGGGCGAAACACAGCGACGATTTATCCGACAAGGTCAAGCGATCAAACACGCCAATCAGAAAGACATAAAGCTATTGGAAAAAAGTTTGAGTGAATTGGACAAAACCTACTCTGAGTAAGATTGATTATATATCTTAAAAAAGAAAATCTATTTGGAAAAGTAACCAATTTTTCTTCAAATTTGTATTTTTTTTTGTCAATAGTCTACAAAAAGCATGTGCTCAGCGCCGAAATCGATTGGAAGAGGCGCGAAACTTTTATTTGTTCTTAGAAGACTATGACAATGAAGTTGGTTGGTTAGTTGAAAAACAACGCATCTGCAAAACTGGCATATCGGCAAAAGATTTGAGAGCAGTCGTTTCATTACAACAAAAACACAAAGCGCTTGAAGATGAAATCAAAGTTCGTGAACCAAAATCCACGCAAATGATTGACGCAGGACGAAAACTTATATCTGAAAACCATTTACGTCAAGCTGAAATTAAAAATCGTGTAGAATCATTACAAGAGCACTGGAAATCTCTTCAAGAATTGGTAGATCTTCGACGCAGACAATTGGAAGATGCATCCGAAGCATACCAGTTTTATACTGATGCCAACGAAGCAGAAAGTTGGTTAAATGAAAAAATCACACTACTTGAGTCAACAGATTATGGTGTAGATGAGCCATCAGGTGCGTATTCAAAATACTACCTTATACATTTTTGTGTTAATTTTTTTACTTTTCTTTTCTTAGCACAAGCACTATTGCATCGACATCGCGATTTACAGGGAGAGCTCAATGCCTATATGGGAGACATTCTAAATTTAAATCAGCAAGCCGAAAAATTAATTAAAGCTGGCATTTGTACGTTGGATTTACAAACCGCTGAACCTGAGCCTATGCTTGAGGCTGAGCAAGAGGAATGGGTGAATGAAACAAGATTAGTTCAAAAAGAAGTTTGGGAAGAGGAACCAGTTGAAAAAATTGAACACAGAATGGTAACTGAAAAAGACAGAGTAAGTAGGTAAGTTTTGACCACATATAACATCGTACAAATGAAAACAATCTGTGACATGAAGTCACGATGACAAAAACATTGCTCGAAATTGAGATTGTGGTAGAAGAGCAACATTCAACGTCGTATCGGACCCACTGTATACGAGAATCAATCATCGTGCAAAACGAAAAATGGCGAAAATTCACTGCATATTGCTGGATACATTAGGTAAATCCAAACAATACAGCATCAACCGAATCGTCGTGCGATGCGACATTTCTCTTAATGCTTTAGTAAGTAGTAGAGTAAATTTCATTTTGATCAATTTGCATTTGATTTTTTACACAGACAGATTGTAGCTGTAATTTGTTTACTTATTTCTCTTTTTGCTATGATGTAGGAAGTGCCAGTCGGACCCACAAGTACTATTCTATAGTGAGCATCATTTCTGTCGCCAATCTCAAATTTAAGCAATGTTTGATCAAGCAATTTTGAATCTATGTGGTCATTGCTTTACCTTTAGTTTTAAAATATGCCTACTTTTCCATTTATCATTTGTTACTAGTTTCCATCAGGGTTCTCAACGGGCTCGAAAATTGCCATTAATTTCATTTCTTCTTTCTAATTCTCTCCTTAGGTAACTGAAAATAAGTATTTGCCGCATGTTCGCGCCGCATATGCATTTGAAGGTCAAGGAATGACGATGAGTAAGGGTGAAATTTTGATCTTGCTCAATAAAACTAACGAAGGTACTATTTTTCAGTTAATTGTTTGTGCTTTGTTTCTCGATTAAATAATGAAAAATTATCCCATTACCAGATTGGTGGTCAATACGTAAAATGGATGGATCGGAGGGATTTGTTCCAGCTAATTATGTGAAAGAAATTGAGGCTCGTTTGGTTCCGTGTCTCGAGAAACGAATTGAGAAAATTCGTACAGTTCAAAAAGTTAAAAAATCAATTCTAGTGCGACAGGTAGTTCCAGTCAAACGAATCAAACCAACAAAGGTTTCTCAAGTTCGTCCGTTAGTGAAACGTCGCCCAGCAAATGAAGCAAATGATAGTAGCGATAGTGTTGAAAAGAGACAAAAACGAGTTAACTCAACATACGATCAATTACAATTGCTCGCCCAAAAGAGGTATGCTCTCCTCGAAGATTCCATTTGTCTTTTCGGTTTTTACCGAGAGTGCGATGACTTTGAGAAATGGATTAAGGACAAAGAGAAGATGCTTCAAAGTGAGGAATTAGATGACACCGATGTTGAAACTGCCAAACGTAAATTTGAAAAATTCCTCACCGATTTATCGGCATCTTCAAAGCGTATTGAAGCTATTGATTTTGCTGTTGAAGATTTCATACGTCAAGGTCATTCGCAATTAGATAAAGTGAAACAACGCCAGCGACAAATTTATCAACAATGGGAAAATTTAAATAAACTGAAGGCTCAAAAAGAGAAAAATCTAGAAGGAGCTTCAAGCGTTGAACTTTTCAATCGAACATGTGACGAAGCTATTGATTGGATGAACGAAAAAATGACACAATTAGATATTGCAGACGTTGGTCCGGATCTTAAAACTGTACAAGCATTACAAAGACGTCATCAACACTTGGAGCGAGAGCTTGCACCGCTTGAAGAGAAAATTACCCGAGTCAATTTGCTCGGAAACAGTGTGAAGAATTCATATCCAAACGAACAATCAAATGTGACAAATAGACAGAAAGAAATCAAAGAAATGTGGCAAAGAACACAAGATAAAGCCAGGGAACGGAGATCAAGATTGGAGAGTGCGGTTGGCCAACAAATTTTCATAAACAGTTCCAAAAGTTTGCTTGCTTGGATTGAATCAATAAAAGACACGTTATTGGCAAATGAGAAGGCTCGTGATGTAGAGACAGCCGAAAATCTTCTCAAAAAGCACAATGAACTAGGTGACGAGATCAAGGCCCAAAATGATGAGTTCAAAGAAGTTATTGCTCTTGGTAAGCAACTGCAACAGCGTAATACAAGCAATTTGACTGATGTAGTGGATTTGATAGAACGACTGGGAACCGAACGAGACGGCATTCACAGCAAGTGGTTAGACAAGCAAAATCAGCTGCAACAAGGAGTAGAGCTTCAGGTTTTTAACCGTGAAGCAGATAAGATCGATGCAACAACCAAAAGTCACGAAGCATTTTTGGAGTACACCAATTTGGGAAATTCATTGGACGAGGTGGAAGCGATTATAAAACGACACAATGACTTTGAAAATACACTGGGTGCTCAAAATAAGATAATCAAACACTTTTCTGACAATGCGGACAAATTAATTGAAAATGGGCATTACAATTCAGATTATATCAATAAACGTAGGATCGAGGTAATAATGCGTCGAAATGCTGTTAAAGAGTCAGCACAAAAGCGTAAAACAACATTGCAAGCATCGAAAGACTACGAAAAATTCCGAGCAGAGGCTGGTGATTTAAATACTTGGCTTGATGATAAAATGAGAGTGGCCGGTGATGAGAATTATCGTGATTTGAGTAATTTACCTTGGAAACTTCAGAAACATAAAGCGTTTGAGCGAGAGTTGAGAGCGAACGAAGGTCAGCTGCGGAATATAAATAAGGTTTACAATTTTTTCAAAACACCTTTTTTTCAATTTCCCTTGTTTACTTCATATTCAAAAGGGTTTATTGTTTTTTTAGGATGCAGACAATTTGATATCGTCCAACAATCGAGTGCCCGAAGTGAAAGAAACATGCTCTGAGTTGAACAAAAAATGGAAAAAATTATTGAACCTCTCTCAAGACAAAGGAAAACGCTTACAACAGGCCGTTTCTCAGCGAGATCATAATCGTTGCATTGAAGATGCCAAAAAGAAATTACATGAGTTTGAAGGGGCTCTTCTGAGCAAAGATGTAGGACATGATCTACGCAGTTGCAAAGAATTCTTGAACCGACAGCAGATGCTCGAGTCAGAAATTTATTTATGGCAACAAAAAATTGATGAACTTGTATCGTGTGGAGAGGAAATGGCACATGAAGGTCATTTTGATTCGAATAATATCAAAAGCGAAACAAAAGATATTCAAGAAGAGTTTAAAAAGTTGGCGTTGCCAATACAAAATCGTCGAGCATTTTTGGAAGAAAGTCTGAAGTAAGTGTTCATTTCTCTTCAATAAAAAAAAATCACCGAATGCATGATTATTATTGTTGATTAACCTATTCTTTTGTCCGCATCAGATTCCACAATTTTGTCTTTGAACTCGATGCAGAAATTCAATGGATTAATGAACATTTGCCTGCTGCAACTTCTACTGAGCTAGGGCAAAACCTCCATCAAGCGCAAAGTTTGCAAAAAAAACATAACAAATTACAAGCTGAAATTAATGGACATGAACCGACCATAAAAAAGACATTAAACTCTGGGCAAGGATTAACTGACCAAAATCACCCAGAGGAAGAAAAGGTTCGGGAACTATGTGAAGTTGTTGCGAGTGCATGGAATGACTTGGTTGGAAAAACGAAGGAAAGAAGTGGAAAATTGGATTTGTCGTTGAAGGCACAGCAATATTTATCAGAAGCTGGTGAAATTGAAACGTGGCTTGTGGAACGAACAAATGTTTTGAAATCAACCGATTTTGGGCGGGATCGTGATTCAGCTACAAAACTTTTGACCAAGCATAAAGGTATCGAGCTTGAGCTTGACACATACTCAGGAATCATATCGGAAATGGGTCACACAGCTGCTAGTATGATTGTATCGAAACATCCAGACAGCAAATTAATTGCATCTAAGCAACAGATGATTGAGAAGATGTTCAAATCGTTGCAACGTCTCAGTGGACAGAGGCAAATTCGATTAATGGAGAGCATGTATCGGCACGAATATTTCGCTGAATGTGCTGAGCTTGAGCAATGGATCAAAGAACTAGAGCAAGCAGCATCTTCTGAAGACTACGGACAGGACTATGAACATTTACTCGTAATTATTTTACATACTTTTTTTTGTCAAATGTTGTTTTTGTGCAGGCATTTAAAAACTGGTTTATGGTAATTTCAGCTTTTGCAAAACAAGTTCGACGATTTAAAACACAGGGTGGAAAGTGGTGTTGAACGTTTCAATCAATGTAACGATTTCGCGAAGAAACTGCTGGCTTCCGAATCACCATACATTGCCGACATTGAAAAATGTCAAGATCAGCTAAGGTATCATAGTAAAAAGATTGGATTACACTAATGTTGTGTATAAAAATTGAATACTTTTAAAAATGTGAAATATTTTTTATATCTACAGCACATCTTGGCAGAACTTATTGCAATTGATAGCATTGCGTGAACAAAAATTACGAGGAGCTGGAGAAATTCACCGTTTCTATCGTGACGTAACAGAAGCAATATTCAGAATACAAGATAAGAATGCAGCTATTTCAACCGAAATGGGGAAGGATCTAAACTCCGCGTTGGCATTGCATCGGAAGCATGAAGGATTTGAAAACGATTTAGTGGCACTTGAAGCTCAGTTACAAGTATTTGTCTTGAAAATGATTGACGTCTTTAAATCCTAATTTTTTTCTTCATTAATTTACGCTCATGCCATGCCCTTGGATACATTTTTTAGGTTTTAGTAGAAGACTCAACTCGATTGCAAAAGAAATACCCAACGAATACCACAGCAATACGTCAACAACATGAGAATGTAGTAAAAGCATGGGAGAAACTCAAGGAAAGATCAGCACTTCGTAGTGATCAGTTGGCTGCTAGCTGTGACCTGCAAACTTTTTTAACACAAGTCAGAGATTTAATGTTATGGGCTTCAAATTTGCGTGCCACATTACAAGCAGAAGAACATGTTCGTGATGCCGCTGGAGCGACTGCTTTGAAAATTCAACATGATGCCATTTACAACGAAATTGAAGCGAGAGAAGAGAAATTCCGGTATCTTAGTGAGTTGAGCGATTCAATGGTACAAACTGGACATTATGCTGCGGCTGAGGTTGAAGAACGTTGTTCAGCACTTCTTGACGAACGTAGCGTATGTATTTGATTAAACTGATGTTACAACAGACTAAATGATATATCATGAATAATTCAATTGTTTGTACTTGATTAATCTTTTCAGAGATTGCATACGGCTTGGAACAAAAAGAAAGTGTTATTGGAGCAAAAAATTGATCTATATTGCTTCCTTCGCGATGCAAAGCAAATCGATAGTTTATGCATTTCCCAAGAAGCTTCGTTGGGAAGCACAAACTTGGGGCAAACGGTTGAAGCTGTACAAGATCAAATAAAACGGCATGATGCTTTCGAAAAGTTTATTCAAACACAGGAAGAAAAAGTGGCACTACTTCAGGAACATGGAGGAAAATTGCTGGAACAGAATCATTACGACAGTGGCCGTATCGACGAGCGATTGCGTGAAGTTATCGAACGTCGTCAAAAAGTTAAACGTTTATGTTCTTTACAACGACAAAAATTAGACGATGCATTACTTTATGCACAATTTGTTCGTGACTGCGCTGAAGCAGAACTTTGGATATCAGAAAAGCATAAAAAACTTGGTGTTGATGGTGATGTGAATGTTGACACTGACCTGCTTGAGGATAAAATTAAAAAATTGCAAAAGCATCAGGCTTTACAGGCTGAAGTAGCTGCCAATCAAGAAAGAATAATTGATATTAAGAAAACCGGAGAAATTTTAATCAATAAAAACCATGAAAATGTTGCTGAAATAAAAGAAGTGATAAGCAAAGTATTAACAGCTTGGCGCGAACTGTTGAAAGAACTAGACCAACGAGGCCGTGGCTTGGAAGAGGCTCAGGATATCCTTGAATTCAACAATCAACTGGACAAGGTATGGTAATTTGAACATATTTAATTTGGATAAATTTGTTCATTTTTTTGTATCATCATAGATTGAAGCATGGATCCGCGATAAGGAGCTTATGGTTCAAGCAAAGGATAGCGGAAAGGACTTGGAACATTGCACACAGTTAATTCGTAAATTAGATGACGTTGATTCGGATATGCGGGTTGACGATCAACGGATTAAAACTATAAATACGTTGGCAGATAAGCTTATGAATCAAGAGCAAGCCCCAAATGCTCTGAAATCAGTACAACAACGAAGGAATAACTTCAATTCAAAGTGGCGAGCTCTTCAGGGCGCGCTTGGTGCATACAGATTCATGTTGAGTGGTGCCCACGAAATTCATGCATTCAACCGAGATACCACAGACACTTCAGAACGAATTGCTGAAAAGAGTATTCTTCTAAATTCGGACGACCGAGGGAGGGATTTGGCCCAAGTCCAAACGTTATTGCGAAAACAAGAGGCGCTTGAAAGAGATATGTCAGCCATTCATACAAAACTCATGAATGATGAAAAACAAGCCAACAAATTGAAAGAAAAATATCCAGAAAATAGTGACGACATAGATCAAAAGTTAGATGAATTGAGAAAGTCATGGGAAAATCTAAAAAATACTAGCGTCAAACGAAAACAAATTCTGAACGATGCATATAAAGTGCATAAATTAGCTGCTGATGTTAAAGAGATCGAACAATGGGTTAATGATATAATTAAAAAAATGGACTCTGCACCAACTCCTACAACCATTACGGAATCGGAATCGCAATTGGAACTACATCAAGAAAGGAAAGCTGAAATTGATGGACGAGATGAAATGTTCAAAATATTACAAAGCCGTGGTGAAGAATTAAAAGCAAATAAAGATTCGGTTACAGAGGATGTGTCGATTACTTTGAAATTGTTAGATGATATGAAGAACAGTGTGCGTAATGAATGGCAACTGAAGGAAGAACAGTTACGAGAAGCGCATGAGTTACAACAGCTCAAGCATCAAACAGATCAAATTGAAATATGGCTCGCAAATAAAGAAGCATTTTTGAACAATGATGATCTGGGTGATAGTTACACGGCTGTTGAAGCTCTCATAAAGAAGCACGAAGCCTTCGAAAAACTATTAAAATCGGATAATGTGGACCATTTGGAACAGTTTGCCAAGAAAATTTCCAGTAAATATCCAAACCAAAAAGCTACAATCGAAATGCATTTGAACAAGGTATTGATTCGAAAAGAAAAACTCCTCGATCGATCCAAGAATCGTAAGAAGAAACTGGAAGAGTCATTCCAGCTGCAGCAACTTTTAAGGAGTTTGTATGAAGTTGAAAGATGGTTGAGTCAAAAACTGCAAATTGCATTGGATGAAAGTTATCGTGAACCCAGCAATTTGCAAAGTAAAATCCAGAAACATGCGGTTTTTGATTCAGAACTAAATGCAAATACCAGCCGAGTGGAAGCTGTCATTGCAGAAGGAGTTGGTTTGGTGGATGCAAAACACTTTGCATCGAAAGAAATCATATCACAATTGGAAATTTTGGAAAACGATTGGCAAAGACTACAAGAATCCTCACGTAATAAAAAAGATCGCCTATCAGAAGCATATGAAGCATTAATTTTCAATCGCAGTTTGGACGAATTCAATCGATGGATGGATGAAGTAGAATCACATTTGTCATCTGAAGACTACGGCAAGGATCTTGCTTCAGTAAATAACTTGGTAAAAAAACATGAACTCCTTGAGGCAGATGTCAACCGTCATTCAGAAGTATGCGATACAATTACTGAAACTGATACAAAATTCTTCAATTCCAATCACTTTATGAAAGATGAAATTCATGAAAAAGCAATGTTGGCTGTCAAACGGTATCACTCATTGCACGAACCAATGACCATTCGTCGCGATAATTTGGAAGATTCACTACAATTGCATCATTTCTTCCGTGATGCTGAAGATGAACTACAGTGGCTCAATGAAAAAGAGGCTCTGGCATCTTCAAAAGATTTGGGGACGAGCTTATCTTCCGTCCAGAGTTTACAGAAAAAACATCAAGCGCTAGAAGCTGAGATTTTGTCACAAGAGCCGTTGATATCATCCTTAATACAACGCGGACAGCAGATGATCCGAGATGGTCATTTTGCTTCTGAAGACATTGAAACACTTTCAAACTTGCTACAGAACAAACTATCAAACCTGCGTGATTTAACAAGTATTCGACGATTAAGATTATTGGATGCTGTCGAAAGTCAAATGTTCTACGTTGAAGCTAACGAAGCCGATATATGGATGAAGGAAAAATATCCCATTTTTACATCGACCGATTATGGCAAAGACGAAGATTCAGTTCAATCATTGCAGAAAAAATTAGATGCAGTCCAACGCGAACTAACTACTTTTGCAACATCAATTGGTAAAGTGGAAAAATTAGCTTCAGGATTGATCGAACGTAAACATTTTGATAGTGAAAATATTAAAAATAAAAATGATTCAATCCAAAACTTATACGAGGAAATGAAAACATTAGCGAAACAACGTGAAAGCCGTTTGATTGAAAGTAAGAAATTGTACAAATTCTTACGGGAAATTGAAGAAGTGCATGAATGGGTAGCTGACCAAATGGCTGTAACAGCCTCTGAGGATTATGGTATAATATTATGTTCGATATATGCATGTGGTTGGTATAATATATTGTTACTGTTATAGGTGAGGATGTGGAGCATATCGAACAGCTAATTGTGTCATTCGAATCTTTCGTTTTGAATTTAACGGCCAATGAAAATCGCATCAGCTCAGCAGTGATCAAAGGGGAAACGCTAATAGCTGAAAAAAGTCCGTATTGCACGACTATTAAGACAAAAGTTGGTGAAACTACACAACTATGGGAAGAATTGAAAGATTTAGTCAGCGCTCGACAAGAAGCATTAGCCGGAGCAAAACAGGTATACTAATATAATAAGAAAAAAATATCCTGACACAAATATTTATGTGGCAGTCAACACTATTTTTCTAATGTTCTATTAGGTACATGTTTATGATCGCCGTGCAGATGAAACTATTTCCTGGATTAGTGAGAAAGATGCAGCACTTTTATCAGAAGACTATGGTCAAGACTTGGAAACAATCCAGGCCCTTGTTCGGAAACAAGAAGTTTTTGAAACTGAGCTGGGGGCAGTAAAAGAACAAGTGAATGCTGTTGTCGATGAAGCGAAACGCTTAGCCGAAATATATCCCGATGCCAAGGAACATATTGAAGTGAAGAGGGATGAAACCATTGAAATGTGGACGGAATTATTGGAAAAGACTGCCACTCGAAAAATAAAACTCAAACAAGCCGAACAACTTCAGGCATATTTCGACGAATACCGTGATCTAATGGCTTGGATTAATGAAATGATTGCCAAAATAACAGCTCCAGACTTGGCAACGAATGTTGCAGCAGCCGAAGCATTATTGGCTCGTATCAAAGAGCATCGAACTGAAATTGATTCAAGAAAAGATGCTTTCGATAACTTTTACAAAAATGGCCACCGTATTATAAGCGAAAAACATTTTTTATCAAATGAAATCCAAGATAAAATTACTGTTTTGAGGCAACGTCACGAGTTGCTGGAAACTACGTTACAAAAACGGCACAAAATTTATGAGCTGAATTTAGACACTCAACTCTTCTTGCGTGAAGCTGAAGTGCTCGAAAGTTGGATTCACAGCCGGGAACCACAGTTGAAAGATCATAAAATGGGTGAAAACATTGCACAAGTTGAAGAGCTAATACGACGCCACGAAGATTTTGAAAAAACAGTAGAAGCACAGGAGGACAAATTCCAGGCATTGAAACGTATAACATTGGTAAGGGCTTCTTTCCTTATTTGTTTATTTGTTAATATTATATATAGATATATTATAGTATTTAATTCGATTTATTTTCATTTGTTAGCTGGAAAGTCTCTTCAAAAAACAAAAAGAAGATGAGTTAGCAGCAAAACGTGCGGAAAAAGAACGTATTGAAAAAGAACGTTTGGAAACAATTAAACAAAGAGAGGTTAAACGTATTACTGAAGAACGACGACGAAATGAAAAAGTTAATATTTCACACGATCAATCACTTGAAGCAGACGATTCACAAAGAATTGCACCTGTACCGTTGCAACAATCAGCGTCACACGATGGAGTGGCCATGACAAATAGCAACAATACTGTGCAGAAATCAAGTTCTATTGTTAACTTATTTGGGGAACGTTTACGACGTGGTTCCGACTCTAGTAACGTCAAGCGTGCTGAAAGTATGAAAATTGGGCCGAAACTCCCAAAACGTACACCTTCGTTTACAACACGTCGTCGAGCACAAAGTTTCCGGAAAAATCAACATCCGGATCAGTTTGATTTGCCTCCAGTTGAAATACAAGGGATGTTGGAACGTAAACATGAATTGCAATCAGGTGGAAAGAAAGCACCAGTTCGCTCATGGAAACCATTGCACACTGTACTGTGTGGCCAATTACTTTGTTTCTTCAAAGATGAAGAAGATTTCTATCAAAAAAAGGGCGCCTCTTCTCCTGTCAACATCCTGAATTCACGATGTGAGAAGGCAGATGACTACACAAAGAAAAAACATGTTTTCCGTTTACATCTTCCTGATGGCTCAGAATTTTTGTTCCTAACCGCAAATGAAGTTGAATGTTTAGATTGGATCAATAAAATATCTTTCCACGCATCCTTACCTCCAAATTTACAACTTACGCCCTACCAAGTAAAGGTGTGATCAATTTATTGATACTTCGAACACTGTACCATTTATTTAATTTTCTTTTTGTTTTTTTTATTAGCAAACACAAACTAATAGTCCAGTTGTTGAAGTATCGCCAATAAGCTCAAGGACAAGTTCACCTGATTCACAAAGACGTAGTTCACGTCAAGATTCAATGAGTAGCACCGTTTCAACAGGAAGTGGATTGAGTACTCCTCAGACAACATTCCTCCAAAAAACGAAAGAACTACGTGAACAACAAGCTTCCACGACTGCACTCACATCGTCTACCCCTCAAGCACACGTTCAAAGTACTACAGTTTATAGTGCAGACAAGCCTCCAATACCACCACGGGGACTACCACCACCCGTTCCACAGCGTCAAATATCAACAAGTGACAGTGTTCAACTTCGTAATCGATCAAGTAACATTTGGCCAAAAAGAATCCTAAATGTTTGCAAATGGATATAAATCAATAATAATAATGTATTTTTTTAGCAGATGGAAGCAGTAACTACGGAAATGTGCAAAATAGACCGCACTCCACAGACTATCAGAACAATTCCTCAAATGATCAGTATAATCAACAGCATTTCAAAATGGGTAAATATTATGTAAAATGACAATACTTATTATAGTCCACAATGTCCACAAAAGTACAAAATCACTACATCTTGTTTGTTGAAATTAAAAACTATATATATAAATATTTCAAAGTGCTGTCAGTATTTTCGAGTTTTTTTTCTACTGTTAAGAATGTCTAAACGTGATTTGAAGTGTGTGCGACATTTTTATTTTCGGGATATTCAAATTTTAGAGCCGCCACCTTTACCAGCAACGCTACCACCGGTAGGAAGCCACAACATAAAACAGACGCGAATTTCAGCAACGACTATGTCGTCCTATTCGAGTGGCTCAAATGTCAATAATAATTCTGAGGCAATGATCAGAACTACCACATCTTGGCATTCACAAACTCATAACGTCGGTTTTAATAATGGAGAAAATGTTGTATCCAACCAAATGTTGAATAACAACTTCTTGGATAATGAACGAGCTGCATCCGCTATTGCGGCCGGTTAGATTTTTTGTTAAATATATGTTTTGGTGATGGGTTTTATATTACGTTCATTATTTGCATGCGTTTTCACGGTGTCGGTCATATCTGCTTTCATTTGAAACCAAAACAGTTCTTATGTTGGTTGCAATCGTCTGAATAATTTTTGTTTTGCTTATATAGGATGGGGGGCAACGCGTTTCGATGCAAACACCCGGCCACTATCATTGCAGCATGAACCATCTTCGTCCCGAATTTCAGCTGAAAGTTCGAGTGAAAGTGAAGCACAATCCACTATTAGCACTAGCAGCGTTGTCAGCGGTGGAAGTAAGGACAAGGACAAGAAAAGCGGAGTGTTCCGCTTATTTTCAAAGAAAAAACGCTCAAGTCAATTGAATTAATTATGTATTGCAATCTTGCTAAAGAATTATGAAAAAAATACGTTGGTATTTCAGAAAAATCTTACTTGTAAAAAATGGTAAAAAATAAACAATTTTGTACTTTGTATTACTTTATTTTGAACTCCTATTCACAATTTTTGAAATTTTAACCGCCCAAAAAGTTGAAGGTCCTTGAGCATGCGTGTGTTTGACGCGTGTTAGATGATTTTGAACGAGCGTCGGTTTTGGCCTAGGTTTTGGCATTTTAGCACGAACGAATTTACTGATGAATCCCGTTTTCTCCAATTCTCCTATTTTCAGCTAGAGACCTCTTTACTATTTTGTCCAATTTTATTATGGCCGATTCCATTTATCGTCCAACAGTGATACCCAACGCCGGGCTTTCTCATCACTGTCGCCAACTGATGCTAGCAAGTGTTTTACAAACATATTTTATGGCCGCGCGCGTTTTGTAATTTAGCGAAATTTCCCGTGATATGGGAGTGGTATTGTGCGCACATTTGCTCGGATTTTGGGTTTTTCACAAAAACTTAAATAAAGGCCAAAAAAATCCAGCAAATTTTCTCTAGAAGCCACTCCCACATTAACAGTCATTTTGGTTCTGGTTTGCCAGACAACTCGTTGGTTGTTTTCATTTTATCAATAACGCTTGACACTCCTATTAACCGCAAATGGATGCCAGAAGCAGATTTCTCGACATGGACTCCGTTGGACTTCATTCAAAATCAATGTGAAATTCGGCAACACAAGAGTGAAAAAGTACACATACAGTGCTTGTAGTACACTTGCTAGCAACAGTTGGTGCTTCGGTGCCATTTATGTACATGATATATGGGAAAAGTCAAAACAGCCGCACCGTTGTTGATACCAGCTTGAGAAATGTTTGGTTGGCACTTTTAGATGGAAACTAGATCATGAAAATAAATTTTGATACTAGTTTTAGCGGGTCCGATCAATACCCGATATTGACCTACAATGAGAACGCTAGTGTGTTCGATCAAAGCATTTTTAATTTAAGCAAGAAAAAAGACTTTTCACATCGACATTTATTTGTAGGTTTCTGCTCATTAAGCCGATATAATCAACAAAAAAGTATAGGAATTATCATATTTTCATCATTTTCTGTAATTTTGTGAAGACAGTAAGATGGAATCTTGCATGATGATGGCACTTCTTTGTATTGCCCCGGATTTGATTCGTGCGTCACATCTGTAATTAATATTCGAAATATTTTGGCCAGCCATTTCTTCATATTAAACCATTATTTAATTAAGACGGCTTGAATGAGTTATAGAATTGACGAACGAAAGATTTACAGATAGCAGTATTAACACTATGACTGTTCTTCATATTTTTTACCTATTACTGTTCTTGGGGGCCTCCAGGGCCCCATATGTATTTCATATGAAATCTGGACTGTAATAAAAGATAACAAATTAGTGTCTGAAGCAAAGTTGTAATATTCGAGGTTTGCTATAATTTTGTTGCAACAAATATTGCTTATCTCTTATCAGTTTCGCGGAATACGCGAGAAACCGCAGAAAACCACGAAAAACGCGTTTTTTTCCTTATCATTTTTCACGGAACTGATAAGAGATAACGAGATGGTGTCTAAGGCAAAGTTGTAGTTCTGGTCGAGTACTACAATTATTCCGATTCATTTTTTCGTTATCTCTTATCAGTTCCGTGAAAAATGATAAGGAAAAAAACGCGTTTTTCGTGGTTTTCTGCGGTTTCTCGCGTATTCCACGAAACTGATAAGAGATAACGACTTGGTGTCTTCGGCAAAGTTGTAGAGAAGCTTGAGTTCTACAACTTCGTCATAGACACCAAGTCGATATCTCTTATCATAGTCCAGTTATAATATAAAATAGCCATGGGGCCCTGTAGTCCCCCAAGAACAATCCAGCGTAACATGTTTTGCGGCAGGCTGTATTTTACACATACTCACACATATGCATATGTGTATATGTCATTCGCGTGGAGAAATGGTCAATCTATACAATGAGACTTAACTCCGGTTGGTTTATACACTGTTTAGTACTTTTATTCAACTTTAAAGTTCGCTGGAGACCCTGGATGCCCCAAGAACAATCATAGTGTTAATTACACTATTGTTGGAGTCGAAGATGATAAAATAAGTCTCCTTGAAGCCAAAGATTCTATTCAACAATTAATGATATCATTGAATCCATGGGAAAAATAGAGGTTCTTGTCTTTATCATATGTTTTTATTATTTTATAATCAAGTACGTTTACGTTAACTTAAACTATTTTTCTCAAAGAATATAATAAGCTAGTTAAATAGTATTGGTGATAATAAAAAATGTTTTGTAACAAGCCTTGTTTACAGTTCATTTCGAAACCAATTTTCGGCTTAGTAAGAAAATGTTGCTCTTTACGAATCATGTTTAAAATTAAAAGAGTTACAGTAACTACATTCAGCCAACAAAATACACTGTTTTCTTAGAAAATCTTAGACACGAAAAAGTTCTTATTCACGGGAAAAATATGTTACTTGAATTTTGTTTTCATTATATAAAGGAAAAAAATTAGCAAAACAATGTCACGTTAAGCGAAAAAAACGTTCATTGAGGACAATTATCGTTTTATAGGATAAGTTTGGAAATCGTTATTTGTTTTTTTTTTCTTCTTCATCATAACGAAGTTTTATTTTCATCCAACTGTAAACTAGGCCTTGAGTGCAAGAAAAACACAAATATTCCATTTTTTCCAGTCTAGATTGCCTTCTTTTTTGCCGGTGATGATTCATCAGGGACATTTGCAGCTTCATTCGTTGTATCTGGTTTCTTTCGTTTTATCAAGTGACTGATATCATTTGCTTTCGGTTTTTGTGCCTGTTCAGTGGAACTGCCTACTGTACCATCTGATTTTGCATCTTCAGCCAATAACGCAGTGTAACCGCCACTCTTTGACATCAAGTTACTTTTGAGCAGCTGTTTTGTCTCTTCGACCTCTGCGATTTTGTTGAGTATATCCTCGCGCATTTTGGATAGATCGTCAATAGTCTGTTTAACTTCTGGTGTTTGTTCTCGGGCTGTTTGAGCTTCAATTGCTTGCTTCATGTAGTTTGCTGATTGCTCGAAATCAGCAATAGATGTGTCATAGGCCATTGTTGTATAATTACACAACCCTTTCATTTGTAACAAAATATTGTATAAAAATTTGATGGTAATAGGTCTTACATTAACTTTAACAACAAATCAATTTCTACAAACCTATTTTGTACTTAATCTCCGCCAAGCAACGCTCCTTAATTGGTTCCATTTTGCTGAATATTTCAAAAGCAATATCTGCAAAAGTTTTAATAGTAATTTAATAATGTTATTTTTGTACAATTTAAATTGCATAATTTCTTACTGTAGTCTCGAACCGCTTCTGAACAATTTTGGTTTTCCATCAAAATTTCGGCAAGCCCGTAATGTGCTTCAGCTAAATATTCTTCATGGCCTTTACCTAAACGACGGAAAATTCTTGCAGCCATCTCCAGGGCTTCCCAAGCAAATTGTAGATTTTCGTTTGCTTCTCCTTCAGCATTTTCAATCGAATTATCACCACCATTTCGAATACCAGAAGATGTCCCCGGCTGAGGCTCATTTGTTGGCTCATTGCCCAAAACAATTCCAGCAGCCTAAGCAAATTGATACAATAGAAATTGTGTTCATTACAAAACATAACCTCAATTTTAAGGAATGGAAATATTGTGGTTTTTAAGTGAAGAAAATCAAAGGTGTCACAAGGAGGCTAATGCAGTACTTTGGAATTAACTCTATCTTTTGTGTTTCAAATACCTCACGTGCGGTTTTCTGTCCAACTAAACCTGCAGCCACTTCAATCGGTTCACCATTCTCGTCCTGTCCCAATGTAGGCTCATCTTCGTCATCGTTATCGTCATCGTCATCATCATCATCGTCATCACCATCTGCATCAGCATCTGTATTATTTAAAAAATTAGGTTAGAATAATTGAAACCTTGTATAATTTATTATCGCGGTCAAAAATGTCAAATGATTTATCACCTGGCAAAACGATCAATTTATTCTCACCCAACTGTGCCAACTCAATTAGTGTTTTCCCATAGAAGAGATTCGGCACGGCAACCTTAGTTGAAAAAGAGAATATAAAAAAAAAATAAAGATAATTATTGGAAAATGCTTGCAAAAATACAATATTTGTACTGATAGTTCACCTCTTCAGATTCATCCCCAAAAAGCTCGGCATAAAGCTCACACGAACGACTCAAGTCTTCAGCTGCTTCGTTGAAATCACCAACAACATAGTTTCGATAACCGCGGGCATACAATTCTTTAGCTTGCGCAATTTTGTCCTCACGGGTTACAAGTTCAGGTGCTTTTTCGGCCATATTCGAGCTAAATTTAAAAATACGTGGTGATTTCAAATCGATTATACATTAAAGCATTCATCTGAAGTGAAAAGGTTAATAATATATTAACATTCTCTTGGACTTAGGGTATCAACCCCGTGCAAAAATGTATTCATAACCTCTTTTTATCCATAATTTTATCGTTTAATTTGAAGTGTTTGTTTGACACAAAGGACGTATACTCTTCATATCCAAGCAATTGTCAATACTCAGATGTCAGTTTACAGTGTGCAATACGAATTGGCACACGAACGATATCTATAGTTTACAAACATAAATAGTATCCACTTATGAATAGAATTAACTAGTAAAGGTTGTGTGGAACAAAGCTCATTCAGGTGGAGATATTTTTTCAACAGTGTATGTATTCGTATTAGGTCAATTGTGAAAAATCATTATTTAAATCGATTGCACTGAAATTTGACATAAAATATCTTGTAAGTATATAACTAAATGAAGAATAATTGATGATTTATAGTTTTTTCCCGCAAGATACATTATTCATTCATCAAAACGAAAATTTATGAGAAAAAAAATTCTTCATCCATATATGAAGTTTATGTTACATCAAATTGATGTTTACTGATTAAAGCTGTCTTTTTTCACTTTTTTTAAAACATTTTCCACACTTTTTTCACTTGGTGTGTCCATGCCAATAAGTTTTAACAAATATCTCATTCTCAAATAAATCTGCTAAAATCTTTTCATTGTAAATGTCTATACAAGAGCTCTCCAGCTGTGATTATCACACACAGGGTGAACAACAGACGTACAACAATTCCAAATCCCACCTTTACTGTCAATACAGTCATTCAACTAAAAGTTATAGTGACGTCTGTAAAAAAAAACAATAGAAGGTATCGAAGCGAGGACGGGTGTGAGTAGAACAATGAGGGAAAAATCGATGAACGCGGCGATTCAAGACGCCGAATTATGACTCGTAAGAAATAGAACAAACAATGGCGGCGGTTTAAATGTAACAACTCGCTGTATTTCTCACACCGAAAGTATTCTGAATGTGGACCCGCGGAAAACAACTCATAGTTGGCCGGTTATTTGTAAAAAATCCAATTCTTATAAATCTAATGAAGATGACGACGATGATGACGATGAGGAAATAGATTACGAAGTACTATTTGCTATTAATAAAAGTCACCAGAACAAAACAACAACATCAACGAATACAGAAAATTTAAATTTCCGAAAATACTTAGTGACGGGTTATAGTTCAAAGCAACAGTCCACATCTACAGCTATTGCAAAAAGTGACTACCCTTTATCGCCAACAGTTGACCCTAATACGCATTGCAAAATGTCTCGGAATAATATTTTAACACTGATGGCCACATCTCAGACTCAACGTAGAAAAATAAATAATAATCAAACAAATGTTCCTTCGATTAACACGGCTTCAGCTGATCAAATTTCCTGTATTACACCGCTACCCATATTTTTTCTATTTGTAACATTGCTTCTGACATTATCAGCAACGGCATTACTATGCTTAGCAGTAATGTAAGTATTTTTTCAGTTCTTTGTTTTCCATTTGCAATAATAATAATTATGGGTATACGATTCAAATTCAATATTGAAATTTATCTTCAGGACTGACCATTGGGAGAATATAAAATGGGATCGAAGTGTGTTGGAACGGCTAACCAACAATACACCACGAGCACTATTCTGGCATTTAGATGGCAAAGTTGCCCAGCTGCCTACTCGTAATATCAATCGTTTTTTTGAAATCATTTTTGTTTTTCAGTCAACATATTTTTGGCAATGTAATGAGAATAATTTTTTTTTTCAAAGGTCACGGTAGATCCGTTTTTTTAGTTCCGATGCATAGTGGAATTTGGACGTTATGTATTGATTTGAGTGAAAATGAAATGCGCCAATTAGGTCAATATGGATTTCCGCACACAAACAAATGTGTTAGCTATTTACTAGATAACTCTATGAATGTACAGGATGAATATTTTGAAAATAAGGACTACCAGATGATACGACATCCAACAATGAGTAAGCAATTGTTTGATTTGAATAGTCATCCCTAAATTTTTAAATGAAATTTTTATTTGCTCTAGGAATGCAGAATTTGTCAATATCGTGTTCGTTAGTATGTTTGATCGTCCTTGCATCAGCAGCACTATTAGGAGCCTTTGGTATATTCCAACGACAAATTAGTGCGATTTTAGTAACTGGAGTGATGTATTTGTTGGCAGGTATGATAACGCTTCTGTTTTCAAACAAGTTCATAGTTTTCACTTCGAAGGGGGAAAATCATTTCAGCCTTGTTTGCGTTGTTTACATTGATGATAGTCCATTTCAAACGAAGCCAAAACTTACCGCTAACAGAATCGGATGGAGTCATAGAAGGATTCGTTGCCAAAAGATCGGACGCACGCATGGCCATGGCGTTTAACTTGTTGGAGGCTCGATTTTTCATGACTTCTTGGAGCTTTGATTTAGCTTTGGGTGGTGTTGTAAGTTGCTCGAGTACAATTTTACGTTACTTTAAGTTCATGAAAGCCTTGAATGTAATATGTATTTCAAATTTTCAGGTTTTATGCGGTGCGACATACGTTTTATGGACTATGCTGTCGAAAATAATGCGCTACAATCCCATATCGGCCTTATTGATCTAAATTTAGAGTGGCAATTTATTAGGATTTACAACCAGTGTAAATCCTTTAATTTGATGAGAAACGCTTCAAATTTCTCTTCAAAATAATTGAGGCCATGCCTATGAATTTTAAAGAGGATTTTTTCAAAAGTACACCACTGATATGGCTTGTAGTATACATATATGAATTTCCATACACATTTCGTTTTTTATATGGTGACTTGCTCGTATACAAGTATAGTTGCAATGGTTTAAATTATACGTAAATCACACAAGATGTACATGCTATGCTGTTTATTTTTGTGAGTTTGATATTTCAACTCGGAAAATGTATGCATAAACGAGGTGGCCACGAATGAATAATCCTCTTTATTTGTGGTTTCGCTGGGAAGCTTTGTTTTTTTTTTGTGGCAAGGTTTCCAGCTATAGCTATATAGGAATTGTGCTTTTTACGCCAGAAACTTTTTCCAATTTAATTGTTATATTTCGTGTTTTTTAGGCTCACTTTTAGCGTCTACAATGCAAGCATATATAAAGTATGGTTATGGACTCACGCAAACGCACAATATTCAATTTATGCCTTGCTTGTATAATAGAATCAGAACGAAAAACAGAAATACCAACTATGACAAGCATAACAGTACAAAAGCGTTGAAAAAATCATATATTTTGGGTTTTTGGGTTTTATTTTTTTCAGAAGTTAAAAAGGGTTTTTTGGGTTTTTGGGTTTTGTTTTTTTTAGAAGGCTTAGCGAATTTTGAAAATTGGCTAAGTCCTCGGTCTTAGGATTGGCTATAGTCTTATTTCTCTGATCTACCAAATTTTTAGATGCTATGGGAGTGACATTGCGCGCACATTTGCTCGTGTTCTGGGTTTTTATGGGTTTTTGAAAATCCAAAAACCAAAAACCCAAAGAAAAACCCAAAGAGAAACCCAAAAACCCAAAGAAAAACCCAAAGAAAAACCCAAAGAAAAACCCCAAAAACCCAAAAACCCAAATTGAAAGCCCGAAAACCCAAAGGAAATCCTAGCATATTTTTAGGGAAAGCCACTCCCATATTGGAAAACGATTTGCACGTCTTCACAAAGTTTTGCCAGTCGGATGAACAATTAACTAATATTTTCAACATTATGTTTGTTTTACATAGTGGTATAATTGGGAGAATTTTATAATGCATATTATTTATCCTTGTTCTAACAATTTTTTGTAGATCTAAAAAGTCCTAATCGAGTGATACTTATCATATGTGCTTTACAAGACGTTTACATTTTTTTTATGCAGAAATAGGATTATTCCCAGACTAAATATGTTCAATTTGTGATATTTTAGAAATTTTCAACAATTTATATTGCACTTTTATATTCCACCTGTTTTGGAAATTCGATATAATTTCAGAAATTTTCTCTTTTAGTTTTTCAAATATAATAAAACTGAGTTGGATGATGTCAAATACCGATTGACTACACTATGCTTGTTAACTAAATGGTTTTTAGGGAATTCTATGCACATTATATCTGTTTCAACACCCATTGAACACAGATAATTTCCGTTTTTTTGTTGTTGATGTTATTATAGCTTCGCGAGGTAATAAATGTAACGAAAACTGGATGATATTTTGGCACTTTGTCTGTTTTTTTCTTTGTGTTGTATTTTAATATTTGAACATGTTGTCCAAACTAATTTATAGTACTGAAGACGTCTTTTTGAGTGGATATTGATGCATTTGTGTTTCTATAGAAAAATGGTTCTTGATTTCCTAACTAGGTTTCTTGATTGAATTATCTCGTTTCAATTGGGATGTATCGGAGGTTTTTTAATAATGAACAACAGCAAAATCTTTAGCAAGAAATTTGGAGAGAAAAAAATGAATTTGGTTAAATCTTGATACCTAACCTATACCTCATACCGACGCAGAATGTTATAAACAGCACTTATAAACGACATTGTACGAATTTTTACGAATTGGTCCAATTGTTCAACTTACTTACTTTTTGGAAGATTATTTGTAGAAATCACTTTAATTTTCTTATACTCAATATACTCAGTTTTTAATATCAAACAACAACTATGATTACAACCGGTTGACAGCTAATGCAAGTATGTATAAAAAAGCGCCAAGAATCAACACATAGATTGGCATATCCAACAAATGTCAGTGTTGCCATGTGCAATCGATATTTTCGAGATTTCAATAAATTTCTATTTCTAGTAAAATTCATTCAAATGTAATAATAATAATATGAATATCAGTGAGAAATAATATTATTTTTTTAAATGGCTTATGCAAGAGAAATTTTCAAGAGTCAAGTTTCACCAGTGGGTTTAATTTTTTTTCTATTTACTTCATCTTTTGGTCTTCTGTTAATTCGCTTCGTTTCGTATGTTTGGCATTTCAATTGGAACGGACGTTAGAAAAGTCAATAATATGAAACTAATGCGAGCCTAACGAGCTGAAGCGTATAAATGAACTGTTATTTGGTTTGATATTTAAGTTTTCGTTGCTTCTAAAAGGTAATTTAAGTTTTTTTTCGTTCTGATTGAACAAATTTTCCTATGGTACTTTTTTTTCGAAATAAAAGTATACTGAAAAAAGTGTTATTTCAATTTAATGATATGTTTCAAAAGCGTTAAACGAATGCCTGAAGAATAATCAATTCTTAACATATCAAAGTAAACAAATTTTTGGTAATACATTAGGGTGTTTTTCATAACCTGAAAAAAAAAGAAATGGTAGATTTTAAATTAAAGAGGAAAAAATTCTGTATCAATTAATGTTGTTCACACAACGGAGCAATCGATATTCACACTTCCCGAAGCAAAAATAACTGTTTTTTCCATTGAAATGTCTAAATAACTCCGTCCGTTCGTCCGTTCAGAGCCCTCTTAATTTAGTTGTCCGTCCGTCCGTCCATTCAGGACCCTCAGAAATTTCATTGTCGTTGATCGGACGGACGGACGGACAAGAAAATTTCTAGCAGCTCTGAACGGACGGACAGACAAAAAAATTTCAAGAGCCCTGGACGGACGGACAGACGGGCTAAAAAGACGGACAGTCCGTCCGTTTGACACCTTTAGTCTGGGGAGGCTCAGAGGGCAACGCGGGTGGGTCCAATCGATAGATCTTGTAAAACCAATCTCCAAGCTCTAAAAATGGATTTCAACGATTTAACGGTATATTTTAAAAACGCGATTTTTGGGCTTGGGAGTGGGTTTTACCCCCCCATATGTGGAGTATTTGTTAGACTACTTTGATGATATCTATCGATTGAGACTATCCGTTTACCCAAAAAATTCCATCTGGTGTTTGCTCCAGTACAAAATATTGTAAAAATATTCGATTTTTGCACTTTTTCAACCATAATTCGCAGGTTATTCATTCTTTTCGGACACAGTCTTCGG